TTGGAATGAAAACCCAACAACCGCTGGATGAATTTGTTGCTGACGAAAATTTAGAGTCGCCTCCACTGTTGCGATGGCCACCTTGACGTATACCACTGCTCCATCATTTGCCACCACCCCGCTCTGACCACCACCACATTGATTGCCTCGATAACTCCCATAATTTGATGACTGCGATTGGTGATTAGCATTCAACACTTGGTGAGAAGAAGAAGAAGAAGAATTTGTGGGTTATGTTCGAGGGACCCCGTTATGTTGATTTTGTAAGGTTTGTTCTTCAATCGTGAGCATGGACCACATTTATAGAATAGTAGGGAACGAGGTTTGTGGCGAATGGTTGTGGAGATATGATCAAACTTAGAGGATAATACGTTGAGTGCATAAGTAACAAGGTTTCGTTCGGGTACCTTTGATCCGATATTGGCTAGAAGATCATATATAGTCTTGATGCGGGTGTAGTATACCATGACTGTAGATTCGCATATACCAATGTTTCGAAGCTAATGTTTAAGTTTAATAACATTCGCTTCTTTCTGCCACGGAAAAGGTCTTTAATCGCCTTCCATATTTGAGCAATGTATGCACCGGGAATAAGAATCGTTGGTATGAGAGGTCGGGTAAGAGTCCTATACACGTATTGTTTCATAATGGAGTCTGTAGTGCCCCAATCCTGATCAATGGGTTTGAGTTTGTGCAATCAGGATGATCGACAGGGGTGTCAATTTATGACAAGACAAGACAAAAATACACGAAACGAAACAAAATCAGGACAAAATCAAAATTAAAATTCGTGTTTGTGTCAATATTAAAAAACACGATGTCGTGTCGTGTTCATGTTCATAATTTGACACGAAATTGACACGATTAAGCATGTGGTTGTCGTGTTTTTCGTGTTTGTCATTTTTTCATGTTATATATCTTTAAGTATGAATGAAATAAACTAGTAGTTATGTAATATTATCTTTATCGTATCGTGTTGTTGTAATTTAATTGGTTCATGTTAATGAAAAAAAACGACATCGTGTCGTGTCGTGTTCGTGTTATACAAAATATTGTCGTGTCGTGTCATGTCAGACAAAAACACAACACGACTGCCCGATTTGACAACCCTAAATCGAACACCTTGTAGGCCATATAATAATTTTTGAAAAATTCACACCATGCGTCGTAGTTTAACCAGTCAATATCAAGTATGAGCGGTACATATGAGTTTATATTTGTGATACCATACATTTTGTCAACGGGGGTGGCCATCTTGAATAGTGGGTGTGAAGAAACAATGAAAGAAAGAAGAAGTGAAGTCGACAAGAGAATGTGTTGACATGAAGAAAATATTAAGATTGAAGAGGGAGACAGTTAGGGTTATGATAGGTATGATACGATGTTGAGAAATGATTTTTCCATGAAATCAATTATTACATTCCACCAAATATATAATAAAAATAATTAAAGGGCTATGGATGCAAGCTAACTACACATGGGCCATACACTAAAAAGAATACAACATAAAAATAACACATACATAAATATATACGACTAATAGATGAGAGATGGATGTAGAGGAACAACTGAATCAAACTTAGAGAAGAAAAGGGGAGCTGCTAATCAACAATGGAGTCATGGGGTGTTATGAATTTTAGTAGAGAATTGAATCAAGCGTGGAGAAGAAGGGGGTGTGTGTGCGTGGGGGGAGGGGTGCTAATTTACAATAGAGTCGGGGTGTTATGAATTTTAGTAGGTAACCGTAAAAAGAAATGTAATTAGGGACTTGTAAACGATATTATGTTTAGCAGATCCAGAGGCTATGAATGAAAAAACGATTATCTACTGCTCTTCATTAGTAAACTAGTTGTGAGACTCATGTATTATATGAGTTAATTTTTTTAAAAAAAAAAAGGTTAAATACAAATGTCAAAATATTTAAGAACTTTAAATTTATAAGAAAATAAGAAAAATAATGAATTATTATAATAGAAATGTTTTTTATTTTTTAAATTTAAACAAATAATTTAAATAAATAAAAAATTAATGAGCTTTAGTTTTGGGAATTTTGAAATTAAAAGGTAAGTTCATTAATTAAATTAATACCCATTATTACCACATTTATTGTAATTATTAATTAAAATATTATATGGAATTTAATAAAATAAAAAAATTCATAAAATAATATGTGGAAAAATAATTAATTCAAAATAATTACAAAATAACATTTGACAAATTGAATTAGTGTGACAAATGGTAAAAAATATTTATTTATTAGAGAATATATATATATATATATATATATACACACACACACACGCACACACACTTTAATGTGATAATTTTATATTTTAGTTTTGTTTTATCATATGTAAAAACATAACCTAATAACACGCCTTTATTGCAAGACAAACCATAATTGATGGAGTGATACGATAAATACTTCAATGTCTAGGGTAAAAATAGATTATCATTCAAAGTTTTTTTTTTTTTTTTTAACGAATTGTTTATTATTAAGAGTTTTGCCACATGGAATTTTATGGTTTTTTTAAAAATTAATTTCACATGTTATTTTGTGGTTGCTTTGTATTAAATGAGGTTAATTAATTAATTAATATATTGTTAGGTGCATTTCATGCATTCATTTTTTTTTATTTTTTATTTTTGTTTATTTATTTATTTTTTTGAACCGGCAAATACAAATATACTAATCTATTCCTAAACTAACACCTAATTTCACCTATGTCCACGACGGGACTTGAACCCTCGACCTCAAAGAGGGAGGGCACCACTTGATACCGCTGGGCTAGAAGCCCTTTGGTTCATTTTGTAGTTTTAGTTCATAAAAGTGCATTACATTTAGGTTTAAACTCATGCATTTTGCATATTTTCGGGATTTTTCATGATGCAATTCCATTCACACACTTTTAGGATATTTCAGGGACTTTTGAAGGTTGGATCTTGATGGAGGAAGTTATCAAGAGCTGGAGACAAAGTTGTAGAAGTTTTGGAGTTTTGAAGAGAGAGAATGAAGAAATGAAGAATTTGGCTTCACAGGAGTTTACACGGCCGTGTAAACGTATACCTATAATTTACACGGGTCGTGTAAACGTATATGCAAGGACATTCTACTTCGAAGACCTGAAAGAATTAAGCATTCTACTTTTCTTGTTTACACGGCCGTGTAAATGGCACCCTTTAATTTACACGGGCCGTGTAAACGTCTCGGCAGTTTTAAAGTGGTGTTGTCTTCTTATAATTCAGACAATCAGTTTTTATGGGAGTTAGGTCGTATTTTGGGAAGAAAGGAGGCAATTTTCAGAGCTTTTGCAAGTAGATTAACACTTGGAAAACACTTTAATTTCTTTTTGTAAGTCAATTTGAAGTTTAAACTTGTTTGATTTGTAGTTCAACCTAGACATGTGTGGTTGATTTTATTATCATTTCCGAATCTGAATTCTTAAGTATGTGTTGTTAGGTTGTAACTTGAATTTGACTCGTGTTTAATATCTAGTAATCTTTGATTTGATCTTAATCATGTGTTTGGTTGGTTCTCTTTTTCACTTGATCAATGAACTAGTGTTCTAATCAATCTAGTTAATCAAATCATGAAATTCGTATATGTTTTATGATTTGATGTTAGTAACACTCACTTACTTGATTGTAATAAGATCAAAAATTAGTGCAATCAAAGATTAAATGTTTATATTCCCAAGCTTAGGAGGAATGTGAAACATTGTTGGTAATTAGTGTAAGAACCTAATACATTTAATGATTTAATGCAAGAGCTTATTTGAATTGAATCAATTAAATGAAGTTTTATTTGAAGAGTTTGTTTTGAATAAAATACTTTTGCCAATTTGGATATTAGAGTTTATTAATATCCAACTTACCAACCTAGATTGAACATGAGTTATAATCATATTACATCTTTCAACATAATACATATATAAGACTCAGAATTGGAAATGTATTTCTTTTACTGCGTTTGTTTTCAATCTTTCTTATTTATGAAGTTTAATTCAAGTTCAAAAACAAACCCCCAATTCAATATTATTTGTATTATGTGTGAAAATATGGCAAGATAAGAAGTCATGTATTCCTGTGGACCGACCCTGCTTACTATCTATACTATCTTTAGTATTAGAAATAGTAGTGATTTGAGCTATATTAATATTATTTTATCCCATCATTTGTTGGTTTGACATCCAAACAATATTTATTCTATTAATTTTGAAAATAAAATTTTATAAATGCTATATATACCTTTTTTTCCTATGATATCATAAATATGCATCAAATTTTGATTGTGTCACTCCAAATTGTAAACTAATCGTATATACTTTCCAAAATAATATCACGTTTCTTATACGGTATTCCAATTTATCATAAAATTACCAAATTTACAAATATATTGATTGGTTGCTTTAAAATCAAATTTTAATTTAAATCATGGAAGCCAATCTACTATAATAAATGAAAATCTTTTTACCACATGTCACTCTTACATTGATTTTGCCACATATCATTTTGTGGTTAATTTCAATTAAAATTTTTCCACATTACCTTCTTGTTTTAAAATTCTCAAATTAAATTTCTTAGTTTATTTTGTTTATTTATTTAAGTTTAAAAGATAAAAAAAATCAATTTTAATAATTCATTATTTTTCTTATTTTTCTTAAAAATCCAAATTTTTTAAATATTTAGACTTTTATATTTAGTTTTTTTAATGAATTCATGTAATACATGAGTATTACACCTAGTTTATATGTATCAAATATCATTTGAAGTTTTGCAACCTCTTAAATAATTTTGATAGAAAAAAAAATCCGAAACAAATTAAAAGTAACTGTCTATAATTGATAATTTTAATGTAATTCATTATAATCGATTTTGATTTAACACAATTTTTAATTTTTTAGACATTAAACTTTTATTTTAATTAGACATATCATTTTTAGTTTTTTTAACTATTAAACTTCTATTTTAATAAACCGTGTAATACGAATACATCTAACCTAGTATTCAACATATATACAAGAAAACCCTCGCACATTGGTTGAACACTCTGTTCTGTGTTGAACTGCCGCAGTGAACAGTCGTAGCAACTGAAACGGTTTACCAGCGGCGGCAGCGGCAGTGTCAGTGGCGGATAGAAAGACGAGGGAGAGAGAGAGAATCGAGAAAAATGGGGAAGAAAACGAAGAAGCCGGGAAAGGGTAAGGAGAAAACGGAGAGAAAAACGGCAAAAGCAGAGGTGAAAAAAGCTCGTAGAGAGTCTAAGAAAGTCTCCCCGGAAGACGACATTGATGCAATTTTGGTACTCCTTTTAATCGAAATTACAACACATATACACAGCGTTGTTCTGTTTCATACTTCACTTGAGTTGTGTAGTTACCATGATTGTGTTTTTGAGTTTTTAGTTAAGCATACAGAAGGAAGAAGCTAAGAAAAAAGAAGTTCATGTCGAGGAAAACGCACCTCGTCCATCTCCCCGGTCAAATTGTTCGGTATACCCCTCTGCTATAGCTGTATCAGTAAGTCTTCGATGTGAATTTTGAAATAAGTTATTGATCAGGGTTATTTCTCGTGCAGCTGAACATCAATCCATTGAAAGAGACTGAAATGATATTATATGGTGGTGAATTCTACAATGGCACTAAGGTTTGTAGATGAGTTCATTCGACTTTCTCCCTGAAATTGTGCTTGAACTTACTTTGAAATTGGTTGATTTATTACACAGACATACGTGTATGGCGATCTTTATCGATATGATGTTGATAAAGGAGATTGGAAGCTAGTTTCTAGCCCTAACAGCCCCCCTCCTCGCAGTGCTCACCAGGCTGTTACATGGAAGAATTATCTATATGTTTTTGGTACTTAATTAGTAGAATTCTGATAAACCACATAGTTAAAGACTAAAGTAATCACTCTTTTATTAAAATAGTGTATTATACACCTGTAAACTAACAAAATTCTTGTTTTGTTTGTAACTAGGTGGTGAATTTACATCTCCTAATCAAGAACGTTTTCATCACTACAAGGTAGAGTACTTGTGGGATTTGAAGTTAACTTGTTTTTTCCATCAAGGGCATGAAAAAAGACAGTTTTTTTAATAAGTGACTTCTTTCTCATGTATGAAATGTTGCATTGTTGTATGATTTCAGGACTTTTGGATGTTGGATTTGAAAACAAATCAATGGGAACAATTAAATTATAAAGGTTGCCCTAGTCCACGTTCTGGTCATCGAATGGTATGCTCACATCTTTCTGTTTTTGCTTATGTCATCCATCTTTTAGGGTTTTCATGTAAACCCTAGACCTCATTTGCAGGTTTTGTATAAGCACAAGCTTGTTGTTTTTGGTGGCTTCTATGATACTCTTAGAGAAGTCAGGTTGTTATTTGTTTCTTTATTATAAGATATAATGGAGTTTAAAACTTAGAAGATATGAGGTTTGATTCTGTTATCTGTTACTTTGTTTCATTTTGCAGATACTTCAACGATTTACATGTCTTTGATCTTGATACTTTTAAGGTGAAGTGGTGAAGAAAGTGAAACAACTTAAATTGGTTGATAGTTTTTTTTTTTTTTGGCGAATTAAGTTTTGTAATTAATATTAATATATTGTGTTGTTTTGTAGTGGCAAGAGATAAAACCTACACCTGGATGCTTGTGGCCAAGTGCTCGAAGTGGCTTCCAACTATTTGTTTATCAAGATGATGTGAGTTAAAAGTAGATATTTTATTTTCTTGTTTTAAGTGAGTGAATCTTTAATTTTATTTACCAATAAAAAATGTTGTTAAAATTGTAGATTTATTTATATGGTGGGTACTCAAAAGAGGTATCTTCTGATAAAAACAGCTCAGAAAAAGGGATTGTTCATTCGGATATGTGGTTGCTTGACCCTAAGACTTGGGTGTGGAACAAGGTATTATCCTCTTTTTTTATTAATCTTTTCAGTTTCATTCATAATTAAAAATGAATAACTTATATTTTATTTAAACTTTATCTGGTTTTAGGTAAAGAAAGGTGGAATGCCACCTGGACCTCGTGCTGGTTTCTCTATGTGTGTACATAAAAAGCGTGCTGTGTTATTTGGTGGAGTTGTTGACATGGAGGCTGAAGGTTGATTTTCTTTTTTCTCTTTAAAAAAAAAAAAACTCTTTGGAATCTGTTAAATTTCTCAGAAGTAGATATGATTGCCTTTAGAACTTAAACTATTATTTTTCATCATTAAGAAGTGTGTAAAACATGTGTGTTTAATATGGTTTCTAATTTTATAATGACTTCCATTGTATATGCAGGTGATGTGTTAATGAGCTTGTTCTTGAATGAACTTTATGGCTTCCAATTGGATATTAATCGTTGGTAATTCCTTAAAATCATAAGAAGATTTTATATTTTTGTTCAACCATTTCTGTATAAAAACTATATAGACGTTTTCAGCTAACTATTTTAAGAATAACTACACTTTTAGGTACCCATTGGAGTTGAGAAAGGAGAAATCAACAAAAGATAAGGTATTTTTGGTAGTTACTTTTTATAAAAATGATCGTATACCGATAAAAATGGTGATTTGAAATGATTTTGCAGATGAAAAAGAAAAAAGATGAAGATGATGAAATGGATTGTGATGAAGCTGCTAATATGGAAAGTAACATTGATGATATTTCATTAAATATGGAGAGAAACATTAGGGTTGATGAGGTGGCTACAAAATCAATTATTGAAGAAGTAGTAAAGCCTTGTGGGCGTATAAATTCCAGCATGGTAGTTGGAAGAGATACATTGTATGTTTATGGAGGGATGATGGAAATAAGAGATCAAGAAATCACACTTGATGATTTATATGCTCTTAATCTTAGCAAACTTGATGAATGGAAATGTCTTATTCCGGTTTGTTAACATTCTTAACTTTTTATAATAAATCTTCTTCTCATTTACCTTGATATTTAAAAAAAATAAATTATTTGTTGTTATTTTGTGTAGGCATCTGAGTCTGAATGGGTTGAAGCATCAGAGGATGAGGATGATGATGAAGATGATGAGGATGATGATGATGAAGATAGTGAAGATGATGATGAGGATAAAGGCGATAGTGATGACACTGATGACGAGGATGATGATGTGGAGGGTTCGAATGGTGATGATGTAATGGGAGATGCTGTTGCAATAATAAAAGGTGAAGGGAAGAAACTACGAAGGAAGGAAAAAAGAGCAAGAATTGATCAAATAAGAGCTAGTCTTGGGCTATCTGACTCACAGAGAACTCCAATGGTAATTTTTGATTGCAGAAACAATTTAAAAAAATAAAAATAAAAACAAACATTATTGATTCTAAGCGATTGCTGGATTATAAATTGTTATTGTTTGTGTTAAAAAGCCTGGGGAAGCTCTGAAGGACTTCTATAAGCGGACAAACAGTTACTGGCAAATGGCAGCATATGAACATACTGCTCACACTGGAAAGGTTTACTTTCACCTTTTTATCTATTTACCTGTAGTGAATAATGATTAATTAAAGCGTTATACTTTTTTTTTTTTTAATTGTTGAGTAAATCTTCTTTGAGTTGTTTTTATTGATTGCAGGAACTCCGAAAGGATGGTTTTGATCTTGCTGAAACTCGGTTCAAGGAGCTTAAGCCAATTCTTGATGAGGTATTCATTTCACTTTGTATTGATAAGCTCTTCTTACACTTACAATATCCTGTCATGTATTTAATGTAAAAGCAGCCTCTGTGGTAATGTGTTCAAAAAAATAAAAATAAGACACAAATTGAATAATCAATTTTTTTCATGTACAGCTGGCAGTCTTGGAGGCAGAGCAGAAAGCTGAAGAGGCTGAAGGTCCTGAAACTAGTGTTTCAAGGAAAAAGGGCACCAAGAAAAACAAACACCTGGGTTCAAAGTAGACCAATGTTAAAAAAATTTGAGTGTGTTTGTATTTTAGTAGTGTTTATGTACGTTTTAACTTTTTATAAATTTACTCCTATATTTTTTGAAATTTTCTCCAGATATGTAGTTAGACTTGATCAAAAAATTATATTGTATGTGATGTGAGTTTCATTTTACAAAATTTTGTCTTTCGCTTTAGTAAATGTATAAATTAATCATGCTAAAAATGACTTATCGAATACTAGAAAAATATAAAGAATATTATAACATGTCTTAGAACAATCACACAAAGAAACCAAGTTTTTAGTACCACATTTTGTAAAGGTTTTGCTTATTTGAATGTTGACATAAAGTAACGTTGGGATAAAGTCTACAAACTATAAAGTAAAAGACATCATAAAAAACATTTCATCTAACAAATATTAATCATTAAAAATGTTCATTGAAGTTAGGTTTTTGTTAAAATAAATTACTAGAATGTTGTGATTACATTAATAATTAGTAATTGTAAAGATCAGTCATTAAACAGATAAAGTCGAACCATAAACTTGGATTGATATCATACTAAGAAACTACACTCGACTAATCCATTGACAACATTTATCGACATGACTTATTCATCAACTGCCCACATAAACCAAAAAAAAAAAAAAAAAAAAAAAACCTAGCCCCACAATCCGACCATCAACCAAAAGTCCAAAACACCCACATCTTACTACAATTTACAGAGTGCAAAGCAAAATATCAACGTCAAATGGGCCCCCCACTGCCACGTCATTTGCTAGTAACATGTACTGTAAACACGCTACAAGTGAAATTGCTATTTGCTTCACTTTCAAGCACAAATTCACAGTTATCCCCAATCTGAATCCCTCTTTGCCTTGCAAATGCTTCCCAACTTTGTGTTAAAGCCTTCAAACCCACTTTATTTTGATACAAAACCGGCCAAAGATCCGCCTTATTTCTCAAAAGAATCACCTTCGACTTTAACTTCACCCATTTCGGTATCTCCTGCATAAATACCAACATTTATAAACATCACAATGTTTCCACAAAGAAAAAATTATTCTTTCAGCAACCCTTAAAGAGGCCCACACCGCTCTCCCCCCAAAAGATTAATGAAAAATGTAAATCATGTACACAGTGGGGCCCGCTAGATGGCATGCATAAGCGCGCAATCCACATTGGGATTTAAATTCTCACTAAACCTTTGACTGTTTCAAAAAAGATACGTACAAGATATTGGTAACTACTCATGACCGCAGAAAATGAAGTGTTGGTGGGACCCATCCAGGGTGTGTCCTCATAGTCAACAGGCTCGGATTTGACTTTTTGTAAAATATTATTGCTTTCTTCCTTATGAGAGTTATTAAAATCTGTCTTGCCACTAGAACTTGTTTTCATCACACCCGTTGAGTCACGTTTCAATGTAGGAGTAGGACTCTTGTTGGGTGTTTCCATTGGTTTAGCTGTTCAATGTTAAGCAAATAAATGATCACATGATTAATAAAAAGAAAAAAAAAAAAACACAAGTATAAAAAATTTAAAATTTACCAATTGGTTTATGTGGAACACCAACATTGTGAAATCTTGAATCATGTTCGCGTGCTGAGATAGGCTCTTTTTTAATAATCTTCGGTGGTGAAACTGTTTGATTAAAAGATAATTATCTATACATTGAAATAACTAAAAAAAAACATAATATTGAGCTTCTAAAATTAATGATCACACCTATCGGTTTAGGAGAAGAAGCAGGGGCACCATCGTCATTGTGCGATTTTGAACCAGAGACGTCGGTTTGACTTGTCAACACAGAATCTTTTTTAACAATCTTTGTTGGTGTCACTGTTTAAACATAGAAAAACAAAATGTTCAAGAACCTTATCATGTTTTCTAACAAAAGATCCACATACATTGTTATTATGGGTTAAAATAAACAAAGAAAAAAAAAAATACTTGGAAACATGGTGCTCCTCAATCTTTTCTTGATAGAAGTCTTGAATTTGTTTTCCTTGGGCTTTTCTGTCATCTTTTTGGAAAGTGTTTCCAGAAGCTTCCCAGATTCTTTTACCTTAATTCCATCTCCACCACCTCCGGCTGCCACATCATCTTTCCAGCCACCGGAGGATTTTTTAGGGCTAGTTTGTAGGATTGACACATCATGTTTCTGTAAACTGTTTACTCCTAAATGTTCATCTTCTGAATCTTCTACAGGAACACTATGGTTATTTTTCACAATTGTAGGAGTCTCACAAATAGTGTTATCAGGGTTTGAGTTGACCAATGGTTTGGATCTTTGACTTGTTTCTTTATCTGAATCAGAAGGCTGAGATTTCGAAGATGATGCAACCAAATGATCATGAGTGTTTGGTGACATCATATCATCTGTTCTTTTTTTCTTGATACTTATGTCCTTTTGTTGACTTCCAACAGAGTCTTTGACTTCAAGATGATGATGATTTCCATTGGTGGTTGCATTTGATGGGATATGGTGGTCAACTGTGGTCAACTTATGTTCTTTTCTAGTTTCTTTCATTGGGTGGGGAGTGAATCCAAAGTGTCTATTTTCAGGGCAACCACTTTCTCCATACATTGAAACAACAAAATAAGATTCCATAATGTAATGAAAAACCAATAAATCGCCAACTTTTAGCCCATGAGCTAAACAAAATGTATTCCAACCTTCTTCAAATGCCAATAATCCATCAATTTTTGTGAATCTTACTTTCCATTTCTCACCATTTGAATCCTCAAGCCAAGTTGACCTACCAGATTTTTTCTGTACAGTATGAGCAAATTTTGGAGGCAGGAACTGCAAGTAAATGAATGATAAATCAGTAACATTTTGTTTACAAATACGACCTTCATTCCATAAAAAGAAGAGATTTTTGTTTTGTGTAGTGCAATGAGAGAATGTTAATACCAAAACTTTGGAATATTCATCACCAAACATGACTTTGAAGAATGAAGTGGCAACAGGTGATGGATTTTTCTCCTTTTTATGCATCAAGAGACAATTCTGAGTGCACTCAGCACATGCCTCTCCCTTAGGAGCCATTTTATATCTACAAAACAATCAGCAAGAATTTGAAAACTTCAAATGGTAATGTGTATGCATAACAATCATCACATACAGGTTTCATTTGATTATACCAGTTTCCAACTCTTTTTTGGGGGTTACCATCCAATTCTATTTAAACTTCTTCTTGCCATCGTTATTATTGTGTATAGAAAACAGTCATACGAATGTTATAACTTTCATATAGAATCCAAATTGGTACCTATTCCTGTCTTTGAAGCTTGAACAGGTTAACAGAATATGGAAATTATTACTAATTTTCTGGGATATTGAACTATAAGCAGACAAAGTTCGTAGTCATTGCGTGTTATTGTATAACTGGTAGTTCATTGAAGAGTTTTGTTTCGGATTCCTAATGCAAGTCAATAGTTGTACAATAGTAAATTTTCTACCCAATTTTGACTTCCCTTTGCTCCCGAAAACGTCAATTATCCACGGGAGTGTACATATACGGCAAACAATTCACAAAACCCTAAACCCTACAAACTTGCATAAAAACAGAACAAGTACTCTTCATGTAAAAAACAAAATCAAAATAGAAATCATGTACGTTTTAAGTGCAATGAAGATCAAAAGAACCCCCAAAATCATGTGATGCTTACGATAATTCTGAAAGCAGAGAAAAGAAAAATACTTACATTACGACAATGGCCTTTGAAAATCTGCTAAATCGTTCACCAATGAGCAAAAGCACTTCCGATTCTGTTCCCCACTTCAGTTGGCAAATATTCCCGGAGACGTCCGTCTCTCTTCTACGGCGTTTTGAAGTTCAAAATCGTATCAGAGAGGTTAATAGTAATCAATAGATTGCCATATTTATAAATACATTTAAATTTTAAATGTAAATATATAAATATAACATAATTTATAAAAATACAATATAATTATCACGTATTTTTAAAACATAGTATCTAGATATATCATTGTGTTTAAAAAAATGTAAAAATATAGATATAAACACAAATTATCTGCTACTATTAAAAAATTTAACACTATTTCAAGAATAAGGATATATTATTATTCGATTCACATTTTAGGTGGCTCCTATTTTCTTTTATAAAAGTTTGAACAAAAAAAGGTAGAAGGGCAACTTCAAGCAATGTGTTTACCTATTTTAGAAATGTACCTAATTTGGAACACAAATTCCATAATAGAAAGATAATTACATATTTGCGTTTTCTCTATTACATCTTCGTAAACGTTCAAAACAAACATTAAATGAATATTAAAAATGAAAATAATCACTAAATATGATGATTAAATGATTTGTCTCAATCATACCATATTAGTGGAAGAATGAAAAACGACTTTATATGTAGAAGTCTTTCATATTGTAAAACTTAGTATCATTGAGGCTTTTTGTTACGTATGCAATTGGTTTCAGCCTTTCAGATAATTGAACTTGTGGTGAACGTATTGCATTTAATTTTTGATAGTTATAATTTTATATTTTAGATTTTATGGTCTAATTACATGTTTGCTGAACTATTCTTGCTCTTGTATTATGAGAAACACCCTACGTGACGGATATGTTTTAAAAAATTGCATGAAACACATGCCTCAATCACTCAATGTTATGTTAACTTTTTTTATTTCGATTTCGGTATACACTTGTTTTATAAATTCCACATAAAACCATAATAAGAATAAAATAACGTATTGTTTTATAAACCAGAAAAAATAATAAATTATTGTTTTATTAATTTTTAGCTTTGATAGGTTTGACCATGTGTGCCGAACCATTTAATAGGAAGTCTAGCTGACATAGAGTTTGAGATGTGACTATGTGAGCAAGGGTGTTAAATTATAAGTAATTAAAATAATGTGACCAATTCAATACTTTCATTAATTTGAGTTGGAAGTAGTTGAGTTTTTATTCAATGGTATATCAAACCCTCTTTGCAATTTCTTTCAAAGTCAGTGTACATTAATTAGCTTAACAGATTATATATTTATCTTTTCTACAAGAAATAATATGACTTCAGTAATAAAACTGACGATTACTATAAATTTACCATCGGTCCTGTTTATGATTGCTTATTTCTTTTTGGGATAATGACCTGAAAGGGTAACGAACTTTCGACTTTTGTCACATTTAGTCACTAAATTTTTTTTTGTTATTTATTTGCCATTAAACTATTGAAACTGTTCACATTTTCCCTTATGACCGGCTGTTACCGGTCATAAGGGTAAAATGTGAACGGTTTCAATAGTTTAGTGACAAATAGATAACGAAAAAAAGTTTAGTGACTAAATGTGAACAAAATCGAAAGTTTGTTTCCCTCTAAAAAGTTCAATGACTAAATGTGAACAAACTTCCTATTGTATTATGTTTTAGCAAAATTATTTATTTTTGTTTAATTGTAGCAACATTTGTTGATGAAGAAATCTATGAAATAAAAAAACAAAATGCAACATCCGGATTTCCAAGTATCATAATTTAAGTATTTTTCTTTTGAGTTAAGAAGAGAGACTCGACGAGTTGACGCCTCAACTCGTCGAGTAAGGTCGCGACTGATGACTCGGATTAATGAATGGACTCGACGAGTCTGCGCTGTTGGCAGAAACCCTAAATCTTTAGGCCCGAGCCATATTTAAAGGCACTTATGGCCTTCAATTACCACTACCTTTCCCATAAGTGAGAACCCTAGCGAGCTTGAGTGTGTAGAGTGAGAGGAAGAGTTATCTTGAGCTTTTTGGTGTGATGGATCTGGACCCTTCTAGGTTCAGAGAGCCGAGAATACGAAGCTTTAGTAGAGTAAACCTTGGGGTTCGAAGTTAGGAAGCCTTTATGGGATTTTTATGGTAGATATAGTTACTTTCATCTTACACATAGATATGAAATATTTTATATAAATTACGTGCTATGTGTGCATATTATTTGAATACTTGGTGTCTATGTTGGATGAACGATTTTATACATGTTTTAAAAGATTTAAACGGTATATTTATTTTATATCTACAAATATGTTGCGGATGAAACATGGGTAGATGAAATAGTTGGTGTGTGATGAAATAAAATGATGAGAGATATGTGATGATAGAAATGTGATGATAATTAGGTATATAGATGATGATGAATATGTGATGTAGGATGAAAGGAGATACCATAACCTTAACCAGCAATGTGGCGATGTAATCATCTACCAGAGTATAGCTGGCGACCACAGACTAGTCTAGACAACACAGTGGAAACACCAGCAGGCCCATAACCTGTAAGTGATGAATTACGAGTTCAGGCGATGTTCTAACTACGTATTCATGCGATGATACTCTAACCCCTTACTATGAATTATGAGTTCAGACGATGTTGTAACTACATATTCATGGGATGTCACAAATTTCGCATGCCAAACCAATGCTCATAATTCACATCAATGAGAATGGTTCATTTTTTTTTTGTAAAACCAAAATTAGATTGGAAATTTTGATTTTTTATTTTGGAAAATGTCAAACCATTGGTTTTGTATTTTGGTTTCGGTTTTTTTGTTTTTTTTTAAATATATTTTTAGGGTTTTTTTTTTATTTTTTTATTTCATAGATTTTTTCATCAACAAATGTTGCTACAATTTAACAAAAATAAATAATTTGCTAAAACATAATACAAGAGGAAGCTTGTTTACATTTAGTCATTGAACTTTTTAGAGGGAAACAAACTTTTGACTTTTGTCACATTTAGTCACTAAACTTTTTTTCGTTATCTATTTGTCATTAAACTATTGAAACTGTTCACATTTTACCCTTATGATAAAATATGAACAGTTTCATTAGTTCAATGGCAAATAGATAACGAATAATTAAATATGACAAAAGTCGAAAGTTCGTTACCCTTTCAAGTCATTATCCCTTTCTTTTTAATAGTTAAAATATGTAACTATTAATAATTTATTAATTCTCTCCAAACGATATAACTTTTTCTTTGAGTTTCTTAAAAAATAGCAGGTTTCTTTACGGGATAATTCCAATCAAAATTTAGTAACTTACCCGTTAGAAAATAAACACAAGAAATCAATCAAACTCATTGTGACTAATAAGTTATTTTATTATTTTTATTTTTTATAGGTTTTCACGTTTGTGGGTTGTAACAAACAAGGTCTTAGGTATTCTCATCGTTGTCACAATTGTTTGACTTGATATATGATTCAATATTTTTTTTTTATTGACGACATCCTTATATACTAAAAATAATGGATGATCACGAGTAACACTTCTTGTATCAAATATTTTTTAGAAAATTAGACTTTATGCAAAATACTTCAAATGCGAATCTTTGATTTGGGAGGTTTAATTTTTGAGACATGTTGTGACAAAAGAAGTGATAAAAGGTGAATCCAATAAAAATTGAAGTAGTTATGAGGCGAGAGGCTATAAAGAACCCATTCGATATTTAGGACCGGTCCAAAACAATACGAAGCCCATAGGAAAATAAAAAAATGAGACATTTTCACAATATATATAACTTTTTTGGGGTAAAGAATGGTAGCACCTCTAAAAATAAAAAAAATAAAAAAAAATATTAGCCATTTTTCAATTAAAATATCTCTTAACTTATTGTCAAAGTCATCCCAATACTAGGATTATAAATATCTAAATGCCTAATAAATTCTTCATTATCGTTCTCAATGGTAGTATTAACCCTTACCAAATATCTTTGTCATGATTTTTCATGATTTTTCTTCTTTTTAAACTCATTCATATGCTCATCTCCATCTCCTGTTAATTTGTGAAAACCATCCTACTTCAATATCCTTCTATCACCCCTTTCCTCTTGAATCGTGTGTTATAATTAATTACTTTCAATGAAGAATGCGATTTTATTGTTGGAATATGAGATTGAATTGATTAGAGGTTTGAATCAATTTTTAGGTTTAAATATGAGTTTGAATTGATTTTACTTTTGAGATTAGTTTTTTTGATAATGGTAGTGGTGATTGGTAGGAAGAGAGGGAAAGGAGGAGAAAAATGAATGAATGGAAGTGGTGGTATAAGGGATGTCGATATTAGTAAAGAGATGGGTGGGGGAGGTGGCTTTTTATTAGAAAGAAAGAAAAAGAAGTTATATGTTTTGCAATATATATATTTTTTAAAATAAACATTTAAAATGATATATATTTTTTTGGAATTATAGTGGCCATAGAAGATGATCTTAAATGATGATGATGTGATAAAATGAAAATGACTAAATACAGATTAGTGTAAAATATGTATAAAGATATGAATTTAATGATATTTATTTAACAACAAATATAAGGTTAATAATATTTTTTGAACATGTCAATCGATTAGAATGGTAATAAATTATATAAAAAAATATTAAATATGTAAAAAGTAAAAGTTTATTTCTAGGATATTTTTCCTTTTTACCGGAAAATAAATAAATAAATAAATCATTCCTGAATAAGGCCAAAAGCAGCTGGTATCCACTTGCTTCATGTTTTACCACCTTTGTGGTGGTTCTGCAACTAAAACTCATCTCGATCATTTTTACCTTTAAAAAAGTAAAACCCACTTAGAATCTTCAATAATCCCCGTACGCCGTACGATTCAATACCATAAGGGTAAAATTGTCATTTCACAATTCACCATTTCTAACCCCCACCTTCCCGTCTTTGATGGAGTCGCTGAACAAAAGCGCAGTCAAAGTTTCATTTTATTTTCAACAACTCTGACCCTCTTCTCAAATCCCCATTAATTTTCCCCACCCATTTCGCCTGTTCAACCCCTGATTTCAAGAAGTTAAAAGTATTTAATCCCGTTATTTGTTTATATCAACTCTCGTGCTGAAAAAAAAAAAAAAAATTCGCCGATCGTTTTCCCTTTTCCTTGTTTTCGAAGGAAAGGGAGTCTGCGAAGTGCGAGTTGATTCCTTGGGATTAATTAAATTATGGATAACTATTATTATCATCAGCTTGCATCATGTCCTTCTTACAGGGATTCACTGAATGTTCTTGAGGTTGATATACAGTTTGCTAATATGCTGTAAGTCCTCTTCACTCTCACTCTCACTATCTTCTTCTGTGTTATGTTTTTGCAGCTTTTTTCTGGATTAGGGTTGTCTAATGGGATGTGAATATGGGTGTGGTTGGATTTTTTTTCTCACGTATTGCTTATTGGTAAAATTTTGTTAAGAGCTTGTTTGGTGTTTTTGTGGATTGATGGTGCACGATAAAACAATGGGTATCTTTTGGTTCGGAGGTCAAAATTGTTATAATTTTCGTAAAATTTCTTGATTGTTTTACACAAATTGTTGAAACTATAGGGAATTCTTGGTTTATGAAATTGTGGGTGTTTAATTTTTTGGGGATTTATGCCAATTTTGCAATTACAAACTAATGAACGAACGGGTATCAGTTCTTCAATTTGGTAATGCAATTTGAGTCTTTTTTGAGTTTTGGCAATATTATTATTTACATTTGACATAATCAGAGAAACTTATTACTTGTACTTCTTCCTCTGTTTCTATAGTTCAACTTTGCTAATCAAACTGGAGAGATTGAATTATAAAATTAGCATGCGTGTATGTAAATTGCGAAGGGTAAAAGCGAATGCTATCAATTCTGAATTCACTGTTTGACCAAAAGTCAACAACCTTTACATTTTTCAACTTATTTTTGGGGTAGTAGAAGAGAAACAACTAACGACGTGTTTGTCTACATACCTTCAACACCTTTTATTCCCAATCTTCAAAATCCCCAAAACCCTTTTTTACTCTAAATCAACGATCTGACCAAAAGTCAACATCTTTACATGTATTTTTCAATCATTTTACCTACAGGGCAAATTCTATTCCAAGGGATAAAAGTGGAGCGTGTCTTCAAATGGAGTTAGGTTACAGTGACATGGCATACATTTTATCATTTTTACTCCAATGGATCGATTTCCCATGTTCATGTTTCCTTCAAACATGTGTAAATTTCTGTTACGTGGTTGTACACAAGGTTAGTATCGTAAATAACCAAACAACAATGAACAAAATTTCTTTATCATTTCCATCATTCCATGTTTGCAAGTGTCATCATAACATCATTTGGTTTGTGTTTCAGGTCTTGCCAGATGAGAAACCAAAGCTTACTTCACTTGGGAGAAAGGCAACCATTAGAGAGTTCTACGGTATGCAAACAAACATCAAACAAACTATTTTGTTATCGATTTAAAAAATAATAATAATAATAAAAAAAATAACAAAAAGAAAATTTCAGATGTGATATTGCCATCTCTCAAACGTCTACGAACAAATCCATTGGAGATGGAAGAGAATGAAGAGAATATTCAACCTTTTGGAACAAATTCCAGAAAGAAAATACAAAAAAATAACGATGTTGATATGGAAAGAGAAGACGAATGTGGTATATGCTTAGAGCCATGCACCAAAATGGTTTTGCCAAACTGTTGTCATGCAATGTGCATCAATTGCTACCATGATTGGTAAGTTAGTTTTATAACATGTTTCACTTTCACCTTTCTTGTTTTTTAGGCTAAATTTTCAAGATTTTACAGGAACATGAGGTCAGTATCTTGCCCTTTTTGTCGTGGTAGCTTGAAGAGAGTGAACTCGGAGGACTTATGGGTTCTCCCATGTACAGGAGATGTGGTTGACCAAAAAACTTTGTCAAAGGAGGACAAAAAAAGGTTCTATAATTACATTAATAAGCTGCCTAAAGATGTCCCAGATGTTGTGTTCTTGGTATACAATGACTACTTATTTTAATCTGAATTGATAAAATGTGGTTAGCTTTTTCTTGTATATTTGTAATTTTAAAATGGTGTACATTCTTAGTGTAGAACTTAACCATCGTTTCCAATAGAGATTGTGTTCTCTGAAGCTTCCAGTATGTTTTTACTCTTAGTTGCAGGAAATTGTCTTCTTTTGACTTTTGAAAGTCAATCCTAGCAATTTTTAAATCCAAATTAGATGTGAAAACTGCGTTTGGATCCATATTTTTTTTCTTCAGTCTGGTTCTTGTTATATTCTATGAAACATTCAAATTTCATCATGGGATCTAAATATAGTCATATTAATTCTCAAGTTAAAAGCAGTTCTGTTTGACCTCCAAAGTCAAGAACAGACACTTATTCTGAAACGGATGGAACCTCATATCATATATAATGTCTTTAGGTTTTCTTCTTCATGATATAAAAGGAATTCATATGATGTGGTATTTCTCATTCCTTACGTTTGTATTCTATTTGACATGCAACCATCCCAATGAGACAAAATTTGTAATTTTTTTTGGTGAGATAGGAATGGGTTTTTGATCTTGTATGTATAAAAGACCTAAATACCCTCGTTATCATCAAAAATAGCTCTACAGACTGCCTTTAGCATGCATTGTATTGTATTTGGATCGAAATTGATGTGGGTGTGATTAAGACACATTGTCGTTTTTGTTAGTATAAAAGGCGTATATGCCTTGTCCAAGTTTATTCCATGTAATAAACACATATGACTCCTACATATGCTAAGATCATAGACTCAAAACAAAAACACAAAAAGAGGGGTTCGCAATAGTCTAGCCCAAGTAGTTTTTGCTAGTCAATAATGACCCAAAGGGTGGATGAGTTAACCCCTCATTAACATATAAATCAAAAACAGCCTTATACATAGCCTCTGTTAAATGAACCCCATCCCAATTAATATACTTGGAAGGTTCTTGACACGAGCTCGAAGACTGGGACCCACAAGTAACAGACAAATCAAAGTCATATGGTGCACCCTTACCACTCGACCCACAACAAACTTTGTAAAGCTCCGTGAACCCTAATTTGGATGCATTCTTGATGACATTGCGGTACGCGTTCCAGTAATCAGCATAAATAATGATAGCTTCCGGATACTTTTTCTTGAGATCTTGGATTTTGGTTTGGAGAATGGTGTTGTGGTCATAGCTTTGTTTGTTGAGACTACCCACACATCCTATGTCATCACGGTCTGATTCGGGTGCATATGCCATGGATAGGGTTAGGCAACCCGTGGTTGGGAGGCCTTCCACTACCATATATTTTGCACCTTTTTTGAGCAATGCCTGCCAAAAATACATGATTCTTATGCATAATGTTCTTTGTGTTGATATTGTGTATATGGTAAAATTTTGGTAAATAAAAACTTAAAAGTACCTTACTCATATTGATAGTGAAATGTAAGCATGTTGTTATACTTGGTAAAAAATTTATAAGTACAATGTTATTATGTAAAAAAATGCAAATAGGTTATTTTTATAGGTAAAACATAGAGTATATTGCCTACATTAGTAGCGAGAGTAAATTATGTTTTAGTTACCAACAATTTGTCATATAGTATAATTATCTCTAGAAATCCATAATAAATATCTTTTCGTATGATTAATATCAGCAACATATTTTGTTTTGTAGTGCTTACGTTTTCATATCTATAATAACAACATACTTATTATTCATTATACATGTGATAAAAATAAAGTAAAATTGCTATTTTCAGGTAAAAATATAGGTACGTTAAACTTTAAGTTGTTATGATTATGAATAAACAATTGAAGTAGCGTTGTTATTATGAGTCAAAAATAAAAAGAAAGTATATGATCACAAAGTACAATAGATTGTTATTATTTGTGATTTGGCGTATAATAATTACCTCTAGAAATCCATTGACACTGCGAATGGAAAGCTCTTGAATGGTTTTGCTTTGAACAGAAGATCCAACGGTGTACGCGTAATCATTGGCTCCAATCTCACCAACCCAAATCAACGCATCATCAAACACCTCCTTACATTCTCTTGGAGTTGTTTTTGCACTTTTACATTTTTGCCCCTCCAAATCCTTGTTAAACCAAGCAAGTTCAGTTTGTAAGGACTGAGGTTGGATGTCTAGAGTAAGGTTATTTTTGACAAAGAACTCATGCGGTATGGCGGTGGACCCCGCCACAGCATAGTTGACACCAAACGAGGTGTCAGCTTTGCGGTGGCGGTAGGGCGGCAAGTAGGGCAAGGAGAGTGATTCCGCCACAAAGTCAATGACAAGGCGGCCGTCGGAGTAGCGGTTGGTGGGGTGGTGGAAGAATGTCCGGCCATAAGGGAGGTTGGAAACGTAGGTGAAGGCATTAGGGCCGCTAGCGGAAGCGGTGTTTCCGGTGTCGGTGTAGGAGTCACCGAATGCATAGATTTTCTTGAACGGCCGTTGGGTTGGATTGGCAGAGGTGGTGGCAAGGAGGAGGAAGATGGCGGCAAAGGTGGTGGTGAAAGGTGGCATGGTTGATGTGTGACATTTTTTGAGAGTGTCTTTAGTGGGTTTTTATAAACTGAAACTTGTGAAGGAATTAAAGTAGGCTTGTAAATATAGTATTATTATACGTGATAAATTAATAGATTTTGATTTTTAGTTCTTTGTTGTAATGGAAGAAGAGGTGAAGAGTGGGGGGGTAATAAATATTTGTGGGTTAGTTGAGGAAATTCGGTTTTTAATTTTATAAATGCTTTGAATGTTATGGGATGAATCGTATCCTATCACCAACTTTTGCGGTGAATGATTAAATAATTTGTTGGTTATCTTTTATTTTGTGACGAGACGTGGCATATTCTAATTTACGCATTTTATGTGACATTTAAGTTTTACATAAACTAATAAAACTTTCTTTGTTTCAGAAAATGGAAGTGTTGATTTATTAAAAACTGGGTTTGTTGAACTATAAATTGAGTTTCCTAACACAGTTTTTTATTTTTATTTTTGGTTTAAAGAAGTTTGGAAAGAGAAGGTATTTAAGATTGGCGAGAAATGAAAGAAGACTATGAATGAGGGTGTTTTCGTTATGGTTTTATTACTTTTATTAAAAAAAAAAAGACTAAATTACAATATTTATAAAAGACAGGGAATAAGACTTATTAAGGTAATTAACCTTTCGGGTTGTTCACATATAAGTAATTATTTTTTTTTTGTACACAACAAGATAACAAATTTTTTGGAACCGTTCACATATGATCATTAAGACCTGCTATAGCAGGTTATATCCAACTACAGCAGGTCATAATGGTTATATATGAACACTTTCAACAAGTTCGTTTGCTAGATGTGTACAAAAAAAAATAGTTACAATAAATATGAACAAAACCAGAAGTAAGAGTAAATTACACAAATGGTCCCTATGGTTTGGGAGAAATTGTGCATTTCATCCCTAACATATTTTTTTAACTCGGATGGTCTTTACTATTTATTTTTGTTGTGCGCTTAGTCCCTATCTTACTTAAAAAGACTATTGTGCCCTTATTAATTTATTTGTTAATTAATTTTCTTATTTATGTTTTGTTTTTATATGTTTAAAAAAATTAATAGACCTCACATATCTGTATCTCGTCACCGTAAACCTAAAACCACATTTGACAAATTTAATCTGGGTCCCACCGATCACCATCCCATCTCACATCCTCTTCAACCTCTATTTTCTTTCAATCTTTAGAGACATGGAAGTATTCACCATCTTTTTTTTGTCCTTCAACTCTGGCAAACAAACACCATAACCCACTGTCTCTTCACTTTAATAGGTTGTGGTGTTGGTTCGCTGGAGTTGACAGACCGAAAAAGAATGGATGATGAAGACGTCGATATCATTAAAGATGGAAAAGAAATAGAAGTTGAGGATGGTGAGAGATGGGATGGTCAGGAGATACAGATATGTGGTGTCCATTAGTTTTTTAAACGTATAAAAAATACATAAATAAGAAAATTAATTAAAAAAATTAAATTAATAAGGGCACAATAGTCTTTTTACGTAAGACACGGACCAAGCGTAACAAAAATAAACAACATGGATCATCCGAATTCAAAAAATAAGTTAGGGACCAAACGCATAAAATCCCCCAAACCATAGGGACCGTTCGTGTAATTTACTCTTACTTTTGGTTTTGTTCATATTTGGGTAACTATTTTTCTTTTGTACACATCTAGGTAACGAACTTGTTAAAAGTGTTCACATGTAACCATTATGACCTATTGTAGCTGAATGTAACCTGCTATAGCAGGTTATAATGGTCATATGTAAACATTTTCAAAAAATTTGTTACCTAGATGTGTACAAAAAAAAGATAGTTACCTACATGTGAACAAATCGAAAATTTAATTACCTTGATTAGTCTTATGAAACTTTGAACCATAAACAAAAAAGACCGGTTTCGTACTGGTCTCAAACATCAAATTGGTCTAAAACGAGACTAGACTTAATCAAACCGTTCCAAAAAAATGAACTTTTTGAAGACCAGTCTTTTTCAGTTTTTTTTTTCTTTTCTTTTATTAAGTTTAGTATATCATTTTTAATAAAATTTCTATCATTTTAATATATATACAAAACATTTGTTAACGAAAAATATGAAACCAAAATAAAAAATAGAAAATACCAAAAGGATTAAGACGGGATCAAAAAACATAGATACCATCCGGAACTTGTCTAAAAAAAACATGAGTCCTGAGATCAATCCAGGACCACCAATATCAACGTAGTTGCGTTTCGCATTTTTTTTTTCCGAAAAAGGCGAAATAAAAAGGGACGGAGACATTGTTGGGATTTGCATTAACTGAGGAATCTAATCGAAGGATTTGTATTTCAAAGAAAACATCGGGCATTAAAAGTTGAAGATGTTTCACTGGCCCAAATAACACAAGTACTTGAGTAGTTGAGTAGTTATTAATGTAACATGGGCCTCATCACTATTATAAATGGTTAAAACCAATGGACCATATCACTATTATAAATGGTCAAAACCAATTTGTGGTGAAGTTTGTTTCTAAGGCTAAGTAAGAAGCGATGGGAACGATGGAACCTGTGAATTCAAAAGATTCTAGTGAAAATGAATTCGAATGATTCATTGATCGGGATGGCGGAACCGACCAAAAACCAATTCATCTATTCGGAAAAGTTATGAGCTAATGATAGAACTGAAATAGAAATTGAAAGAGTAAATATTCGCCCGCGAACACTTTCTTGGATTGCTAAATTTGGGTCAATTCAATACGATAAAGAGTAAAACAAAAGAAAGATTCGTTTTAACAGCCTAAAATAGATAAATACATATGGGGTACTTTTTTACGCGTAATAGGTGACGTGTAGGGGTATTCACGCGTGAACACCACCCCTTACCGGTTAATGTGACGCGGATTGATGGGTATCACGGACGGTTACACGACTTCTTATTGGCCAAAGCTTTTTTACCATTCTTTTTTGACCGTTTGGTGAATTAAACAAACAAAAAAAAAAGGGAAAATGACATATATGCCCTATTATGTTTATAGGGTTTACCCATTTAGCCATTTAACTTATTTTGTGGCTTTATAAGGGAACGAATTACACTTTGACGGGTCGATTAGGTCCTTTTGAGCAAAATGAAGGGGTCATCCGGTTATCCCTTGTCCACATCAGATGTTTGTTCACCAATTATTCCTTAACCCAGTACTATTCATCTTCTTCGCCCCACTTTTTCCCATTTCTACATTTTCCAACAGAGAGCCTTCTTACTACTGTTCTAATGTTGATCGACAACTTCACGTCTCCTACGCTATTGTTTCTCATGCGGATTGTGAACGCAGATAACCTGGAACACGAGTTTGGTATAATTTCATCCTTTATCGATGATTACCCTTTTGTTTCGTTGGATACGAAGTTTGTCAGTGTCATTTTACGTCCAACAGTTGATAACAACGGTGTCGTCTTCCATCACGTGTTTCTGTGTGTGGGAGGAGAATCCACTAGACTTGTAAGTTGTACCTCATGCATTAGCAGCTTGTACCCCTGCATTTCTTTGACTTGGTGGTAGTGGGGTTATCTTGATTCAACCCACCACTGTTGTTCAATGGTTTTTTTAAATGAAAAACTAGTCTTCTTCAACTTTGTTGCAGTCGTAACCCACCTTCCAAAACACTAATTTATTATTCCTCATGATTCAAATATATGTGTTCATTATCACTCAAACATTACCAATTGCAAAGATTTTGATTTGAGAAGATGTGTGATAGAGCCACAATGTAGAAACTTGGCTTCGTGGATGGAACCTATAAATGTTGGAGAACGGATGATGATGAAGCTACCAACAAAACGACAATGTAACACAATATCCAAACAAAAAATTCAAAACCGAAACCATACCTTTTAACCAATCAAAACCTAAAACCGAGACAGTAAATATATTGAAACCAAAGCCTTATTCCAAAATCAAAACCATCGAATCGAGCAAACCACTTTGTTTCGTCTCTGGTCTCCAGTTGTTGGACAGATCAGGTTAAAAGTATGTGATGCCATTAGTGGGACGTATGACACCGTCTAAAACTCTCTCACATTCACCTTCATGATATGCCCTCCTTTCTTTCAAATTGCGTCCACATTCACCTTCTGGAAAAGGCGTAGATTTTGAGAAGAATTGTGATTACGGGATAGATTCGGCTGCCCAGGAAGTATTAAGAGGAGGTTTATGGTGTATTTGTATATAATAAGAACAAAATGGAAATCAATTTTGAGAAAGTCAAAATGTGATTTTGACTTTTAAATGGAAAATAGCCGATGTGTCCCTGAAACCGGCTACAATAGGTTAGAAGGACTAAAAAGACAGGTTGCTTCTAACCTTATGCCCCTATAAAGACACGAAATTAGTTTAGGGACTTAAAAGGTCAACCCTAGAAAGTTTGTTGGGCATTTATGTCATTTCCCCCCAAAAAAAATCAATATATTTCCTCTACTATATATACACCAACACATAAACACACAAAACACATCTCTCTTTACAAATAATATCTCTCTACTATCTTATTATCTCTCAAAAATATGGAGCAAAATCAAAATACATCTACCACTCCAATAGCCCCAACCACTTCAAATGATTAATATCAAGGTTACATTCAAATGCTAACATCCCCAATCCAACATCAACCTCTATTTACCAACATTTCATTTCAACCAAACTACTTCCAACAACAATTACCACAATCCCAATTCCAATGTTTTCAAAAATTTCGACCCCAACAATTCTAAACACAACCCTTTCAAGTCCCTTGTTCTTAATCCCCAACTATAAACTTGGGCAACGAAGAGGACGACCCGGTCGAAGAAACACAACCATCTAGGCGTAGGAAATCAATAGGAAAAGCTACAAATAGAAGAGGAACGACCTGGATCGAAGAGGAGGAGGAAGCTTTGGCTAAAGCTTGGATTGTTATATCGTGTGACTCGAGGACGCGCAACACGCAAACGGAAACCAGTTTTTGGCTTCGTGTTTTAGATCACTTTCACTCGCTCTTGGGAAGGCAAACAGGTCGAAGGTACGACACGATCAACGGAAAATGGCGTGAACTACGAGCAGTGTGCACCAAGTTTAACGACATATTTGAAAATCTGAAAAATATGCATAAAAGTGGTAGCAACGATTTCAATATTTTATCAACCGCATGCCAACAATTCAAAGTTACCACCGGCGGTAAAACGTTCGGCCACCAAAAAACGTGGGAAATTTGTCGTAAGGGTCCAAAATGGGTCCTTAATCCGGAGACTTCGCATTCGGAATCGATCACCGGCTCCAACAAAAGGTCAAAAACTTCGAAATCTGATGTGGGTTTTGGTGTCGACCTCAATGACGACTTCGATGGGACCGAATGGGAGGATCCACCGGAAGTCCAACTTCGTCGGCCACCGAGAAGGGATAAAGGGAAAAAAACGGTGTCTTCAAGAGGAAAAGCGATTAACGAAGACGTGCTTGCGGACAAAATTGACAAAACTCTAAGTTTTTTACAACAAAAATACGAGTCAACGGAGAATGTTCGGCGCCGGAAACAAGCACTCACCGATCTTCAAATTTTAAACATGAAGCCGCAACCAGATATCGACCCGGAAAATTTAGCCGCGTTTCTAAAAATCCAAAAAGAAGTTCGAGAAAAGCATGGATTTTAGGTTTTAACGTTTTTAATATTTATATTTAATTTCTATGTTTTTTAGTTATTTAGGTTTTAAGTTTTATTTTTTATGGTTATTCGGAATCTAGATTTGAAATTTTATGTTTTATGTTTTTATGTAACGTGAAATATCTAATTATGTTATTAATTTAGTTTTTTTTTTATATTTTAATCTAAATATATAAAAAAACAAATATATATATATATATATATATATATATATATATATATATATATATATATATATATATATATATATAGTGATAACCATTTTAAAGGCTAGTGAATGTGTGGTGAACATGTAGTGGAGGTGATGTGGCGAATACGTGGCATCACTTTTCTAGTAAACACATTGTGATCATACCCATGGCCTAAAATCTGTTATAAACCAAAGCACATATGAAGTCTCAACGAATCTTAATTTTCTTCATCTTTCATAAATTGACTTTGAGATACAGTGCAACAGTTTAACACATGAATGGTAAGCTTGGTGGAGAATGTGGCTTCATCAACCAATCGAAGTTGCTTGCCTTCAACTTTCTCTGGGTATTCATCAAATACTCTCTAGTAAGGCTGTAAACGAACTGAACGTTCGGCGAACCGTTCGTGAACTGTTCGGCAGGATGTTCGTTTATTTAATAAATGAACGAACATGAACAAAAATTATCGTTCGTTTAGTTAAATGAACGGACATGAACAATGGTCTCGTTCGTTCATTTATGTTCGTGAACGTTCGTTTATGATGTTCATTTATGTTCGTTCGTTTAAGTTTATTTATATTCATCTATATTCAATTGTTTTTTTTTATTATATTGCTATATTATATGTTCATTTATGTTCATATAAGTTCAATTGTGTTTTTTTTATCTTTGTTCGTTTATGTTTGTTCGTTTATGTTCGTTTAGCATGTTCACGAACATAAATGAACGAACATGAACAAAGTAATTTGTTAAACGAACGAACATGAACAAGAAAATCTCGTTCGTTTATCCGTTCGTGTTCGTTTGTTGTTCGGCTAACTTAAACGAACGAACATGAACAAGACCTTGTTCGTGTTCGTTTGGTTCGTTTACAGCCCTACTCTCTAGAATTACCAAGCTCCAATCGGTTGTGAGATAAAGGGAAGAGGATAATGAGTCTAATCATGGCCGAATGAGATGATATTGTAAAGTTTTGGGATGAAGATAGTTGATTTGAATACTATAATTATAATAATAATAATAATAATAATAATAATAATAATAATAATAATGGAGTATTAAAAAAATGATAGTATAGTTACTTTCATGCCATGTCAGCACCATTTTCTGTAAATTATAAAAAAATAAGTAAATTAGTTATTTCTTTTATCTCGTATTGATGGGGAAGAAACCTTGTGTGAGCTTATAAGTCTTATTTCTCTCTTTTTCATGATGGACATTCAAACTTCAAAGGCTTTAATGGATTAAAAAATGAGTCAAGCTCACACGTACAACGGTTTTGGGGAGCTGGTGAACTTTATTTTTTCCGAGCTCGAGTCGAGTCGAGTGGGTTGGACTGACCTGGTCAACATTGACCAGGTGTTTTGCTATTGTTTTAACAAATGTGATTTATCCATAATTTATAACATGTTTACATATGAACTAAATTTATATAAATTTACATGGTTAGTTCAAATGTGAAGCAAATTTGTGAATCTGTATCGATATAATTAGCAACGTCCAAAAGTTGTAAAACCATTATATTTCGAAAGCTGAAATGTTGAAATTGTCTGTATATAATATATTTTTCTCAATATATACAAGTGATGAGAAATGGTTTTCTCGTTATCAACTTCTTTTTGAGGAATAAATTTAAGAATGACAAAAGTCATGGAAACCAATATCTTTATTAAACAAATTCTGACGATATCAACTTTTAATACCCAATAATTTATGTTTTTGTTAATAGCGTTGTACACTAAATATTATGTTTTAAAAGAAAAAAAAAATGGTTTGCAATATTTTTTGTAAACACCAATCATAAGTTGTAAGTGTTCATAATCATTAATCTACAATATGGTTTACACATGAAAGCTAACATTATTAAACAAATTCTGACAATATCAAACTTAATACCCCCAATAGGCCAATATAAACACAACTGCTATCTTGTCTTTCAAACTAAAATAAAAATATTACAATTATATTTTTTAATTGTTATCAGCAAAAATCATATTAATAAATCGCAACAAACAAAAAACGAAAATATTACCGAATTAGTAGGATGGATGAAAGTATTTTGATAGGGACTAAAGTAAAATATTTAGAAACATTAGTGGTTAGACTGGAAATACTAATAGTGAAAGGGGGCAATTGAGGCTAGGCCTCCCGTTCAAATTTTATATTTTATATTTTTTCTTTTTTCTTCCAGCCGTCGCTCAACATCCCTACCCTCCGCCGCCGCCGCCGCCGATAACCAACACTCCCAAATCCCAATTCCCAAACCTCCTTCGAATCGATCTCAGCTCACTAGAAATTTCCATCCTTGTTCCATCTGTTCCATATCCCATAACCATCAAATTGTCATCCAATACGAAAATTTTCAATCAAATCCATCGTTTGTCAAACGGACTTATTTACAGATTGAATTTGAATCATCAAATCAAATGGCGTTAACAAACTTGATATTGACGGTGGCAGGAGTCAGTGCTGTGATTTTATTGATGAGGAGCGATGTAAAACAATCTGCTTCTATTTTCAAACGCAACGTTCGTCAAATTCGCCACTGGCTCGAAGAAGAATCCGCTTCTGCAGCTAAGTATGTTCTATTACCACACACACACACACACTCACTTGGTTTCATGCTTGATTATGAACTCCTGTGTAGACCTTTTGCTGTATACTTTATCTACTATGCAACAAGGATATCATTCAAAGTTAGTGTAGAATGAACCTATGATTCTCAATTTAGGGCTCATAAGTCATAATCAAATACTTAGGTAATCTTCATAAAAGGATATCGCAGAGGAAATAGTACACAATGAAATAGCAATAATCATTGTCAAGTTTTAATGTTTCTGATCGCAGATTCAACTATATTAGACTGTGTTTTAGGGCATTTTTCACTACAACTCATGATCAATTGTCATGTCTCTAATAACTTCAGCATTTGTAATTGCATTTAGCACCATTTTTGCACAAGTTTATTGTTATCCTTGAACAATAACACCGTGAGTCTGCCTCATCATTCTCAGCTATCAAAATAGTATCTTTGCATAACTCATGAATCATAGCTGAAAAATCACTTTCTCATCAGCAAAATTAGCACTTTTAACTTCCAGATTGTGTAATTTGAAAGCATTGTTTGCTTTTATATGAAATCAAGGAGGTCAATGATAAACCCTTTTATCATAAAAAATTAGTTTGAGTAAACCTTTTTTGAAATTGGTTGCTTCTTTTATTCTTTTTTATCTAGCCTTTGTAATTGGCCCAATCATGTTCTTAAATGGACAATTTTTTGTTGTTCACATGTTCCAACTTTGAGAAATTATGCTGAGATTATATATTCATCCTCAATGCCTCACATTTGATGGTCATACTTGCTAGATTTATACAGTATACAGTTGAGCTAACTTGTGTTAGAGTTTGAAATGTTAACTCAAAAAGAAATGGGCAAAAGTAACCCGACCCATTTTGGATCATACTAAAAATTACCAATTTTGTATATGTTTTGGTGTTATAGGGAAATGGAGAAGGCAAAACCCAAGGAATTACCTAAGAAAGATACCCCCAAGAGTGATTAGAGATGAATGATATCAAATGATGGTATTGGTATTAAGAAAGTATGACCCACCTAATAAAATTAGAATGATTTTCTTGTATTAAGAAAGTTTTTTAGCTAAATTTGTGGAAGTGAAGCATTTTAATCCCAATTTCATTTCTTGAAGGTTGTTATCAATCAATCATATTTATATTATTTGCCTTCATAAACAGCTTTACATATATTTTTGCATGTGTTTGTGGCTATATCTATAAAAAGAATGTCTTTTTGCTTGTTAATTTGCTTGTATTGGAAAAATAAAAAACTCTCAAGAAAAACCGATAATGGAATGCAATGACGTTTTCACAAATATGATCGAAATTTAAGTTGCCATAATCTTAAAGCGGAATGATCTCATCATAATGTTACACTAATTTTTATGTCAACTAAATCCTAAACCCTAATTTAGATCAAGATAGAGAGTATTATGTACTATAATGTAAGATTAAAATGAAAAATAATAAAAATAATGATATAAAAGTTACAATTTTTTTTTTAATAAGAAGCTCTATTAAACAAAAGATATCATCCGGAAGGAGTTACATCTCATAAATCATAAATGGGCTTGTGAGGGGAAGAGAAAGGCATTGCTTTGCTAACACTTTCTTGATTATTGATATTGGAGTCATCACAATGATTATGATATTATTTTGCTGTAGCTTTTATTTTATTACACTTAATTAGGAGGATATTTAATTTAACAAACACGGGAATAAATAGAATTGAATTCCATCCAAACTCATGAAGGAATGAACAAAATCTATAAATGAGGGAACCTTGTCCTTCACACTCCAATGAAATTGAGCTCCATCCAAACACCCTATGGAATGGGTATGGGAATTCCGCCGGAATCCACAAACCAAACTCCTCCTTATAGGTGATCAATATTCATTTATTGAAATGCAACATTTTCTAAAATGTCTATATTATTCTATTCTGTGAAGCGTAAGTTATTTATTGCATGAATGAAACTATAAACTATTGTGCATTTATTCATAATTTGATATATTGATTAGATATGTGTTATCTGGGTATGGGAATTTGTGTACATCTTCCCTACATCTGTAGCAAAATTTTGACTCTTACACCCACTTGATTTAATTTCGAGAAGACAATCTAATTCTTCACCTTCATGTTTTGGTGCACTGATAATTTTTAATCCACTCACACAGTTTTTATTTTTATTTTTTTATGGCTATTGACAAGGTTTGAACATGGTTGGTTCGGACCTTAAATTGTTGAATCATTAAATTGTTGTGGTGAATGATAAAATGATAATTTTACCATTGTGTATTGTTTTTTTTGTTGAATTCAATGTTTTTATTTTATAAAATAATTGAACTAACTTCTTGAATAATTATAAAAAAATACTAAAACCATAAAAATCCAAATCAAACATAATTTTTTGAAATCTACGGAAACATACAAAGTGAAAGTACCTTGGTGTGATTAGCAACTCTATTAGAAAAAGAAAAGTGATTAGGGAAATCGATTCAATATTAAATAGAAGTCAAACTTGCAATTGAACTGTTGATGATCGATCTATATTCTTTCTCCATCATTACGTTAAACACGTAAATTGAAGGAATGATCTTTACATCAATGGCTTGGGTTGACTTTTGCAATCCTAAAAAGAGGTATTTTCATTGACTTCGAAATTGGATTGATCATGGAAACTTGATTCGTTCTTGATTCCTTGTATTCATGGAAACTTCAAAGTTGGCCATTTCTTCTATTTCTTTCATTTCTTCTTCCAATACCAATTCCATATTCTTGCATTCACAAAGCTTCTTTATTCCCTATAAAACAATAGTTTTAGGTCAATATTCATTCACCTAGAACCCCTGTCGGATAAAATAATTTCATAACATTCCATCAATGTTTTGTCAACTTGTATAGAATCTTCTTAATATACTAGAATACAAGCTATAACTTATTGACATGAAAAAACATAAAAAAGAGATTAAAAAACTTCTTCATAAGATCAAGTAACTAACATGGGAAGCATAATCAATAATCATTATAACAAGAGGAGTCACAACAACTTGATTTGTTCCATCGACTAAAAACACAACTTTTATGAACAAAAGCAACAACCGCAAACCATTAGTAATTCTATATTCGTATACCAGTAGAAATTTATATGATTTCAGGAAAAAAAAAAACTTCACGAGTCGTCAGTGATGGTCAGTCACTCGGAGGATTTTATCGACCGGATGAATATTTATCAATCTAGACAAAAACAATCATCCTTTTAAATTGGAATATAATTTTCGGCACTCATGAATCACATCATCGCATACAACTATCAAGAAAAAAACGATTTTAGAGGAATTTCGATTTTAGTGAAGGTGCTTACCGGAGGGTGCAACCACTTATTGGAAACTATGTCCTTTTTTTACATTATTTCAATATGCTTATACTTGAAATTTATGATGTTGCCATCACTACATGACTTTGCTTTTGCATTTTTGGTTACAGATTTAAATTTTGATTCCATAGACAATTATATCTTTCATAAAATCTCTTGTTAATATATAAATATGGTATACATGTGACTATGCCCTATTTTTAAGAGGCATAATATCATGGTATCTAATAACATTATAATAGTAATTTAACTTTTTTATGGTTATTAGTCGATTTGTCACACCCCCGGCCAGCGGTAAAATCGTCGGGTTGTGTCACGTTAGAATGTTGGATCACAAACATTGAAAAGTACAAAATTAGGGATGAAAGTGGGTCCAAACCCGGATCGGATGGACCCGGACCCGGAAAACTTGGAACCGGTTAACGGGATTTTATAGAACCAGTAACCGGACCGGTATATAGGAACTGGTTCCGGGTAAAGTGGGTCTAGAACCGAAAAACCCAGAAACGTCAAAGTGGGTAGGTTGGAATCGGATAAAATGAGTTTAGAACCGTAAAACCCGGAAAAACAATAACTTTTTGGTAACTGCTTACTACTTAGTGGGTTGAATTTTGAAAATTTTCATATTGGTATCCCTTCTTTCGGGGTCTGTAACTCATTGAATATGAAACCAAAATTGACAAAATTATAGTCTAAAATCATGTACAAACTCTAAGTTACACTTTGAAATCCGACTTTAAACGAATGAGATATGCATGTGTTAACATTTTCACATAATACAAAGTACAAAAACGAATAACTGAAGAGTTGAAAATTTTTAGTTTTGATATCCCGACTTAGGGGGGCTGTAAATCATTGAATATTAAAACATTTAAATATTTTTTATGGAACAAATTCCGTATTATAAAAAATACTTTGTTTTAAAATCAACATAAATAAAAGGTTTTTTCGGATCGTAAAAATATGGATGTCACATTATGCAACCGCCAATATATTTTTATCTAAAGATAATCTCTTGTTTAATTTAAGGTTGTCAAGATCGGGATCCTACCTAGGATCGATTTTGGGTTTGCAAGATCGGGATCGAGATCCTAAGATCTCACAAAATAGAATATAATTTTAATTTATAATATTTAATCATGAAAACTATTTCAAACATTTAGTTTTTCATTCAAAAGTTATAAAAACTTCAAAATATTAGTCATAAATCACAATAAAAAATAAGAAATGGTAGATTGGTAAAGGATAAAAGACATAAAGTGGTAAAAAAAATTTCATTTGCAAAAAAAAAAAAAAAAAAAAAAAAATCAAAGGAAGGTAGGATCGGATCGGATCTCGATCCTACGATCCTACCTATGATCTTACGATCTTACCTGCGATCCTACCCCAAATACGATCATTTTACGATCCGGATCGTTTTTCATACGTAGGATCGTAGGATCGTACGATCCTACGATCAGGATCGCAATTTTGACAACTATGGTTTAATTTTTGATACACACCAACCCATATGAATATTGTTCATCAAATTACTTGGTATGTGAATGTATTTCGTATCATTTTAGTTCCACCATAAAAAGGTGACAATACATTTCATAACAATATATTTTTATATTTTAATCGAATTTTATATTTTATTAAATAGAAGTATAATTAAAATTTTGTATTTGTTTATCATCATATATTAAAAATCAAATAAATTGTAATGATTGTTAGATTATAATTTAATCTTAAAATATATAAAAGTTGAGGTTAAAAATTATCATACATCAAAAAATGCACCTATATTTGACCAATTATCAAAAAAGTTACCATTGATATTTTTCGTTTACAAATTAACCATCGAAAATTATTATTGTTAATGGCTACCTAAAAATAATCGGTTCCAATGATTCAATTCCTCAATTATAAACTTTTGCCTACTAAAAAACTTGAGTCGTTTTCAGTCAAACTAATAAAAAAAAAAAAAAAACTAAATTCAATTTTTAGATGCAACTAATATCCGGTTCAAAGGGTTAAAACCAAAAACAAAAAATAAAAAGTAACTTTATTATCATAATGCCAAAATATATAGATTTGATTTAATTTTTCTAAGTTATGTTTGACAAAATTTTCACTTTTAGCTCGCTTTAGCACGAGCCGCGATGCTTTTAAACCCAAAGAGCGGGGCGGAAAACGTGCCGAGTGGCGATCATCTGGAACGAAAAGTCTGAGCCAGCCAGCAAACCGCAATATTCACCGCACGATCAAATTCAAAAGTACCCATCCAACGAATCAGAAAATAGCCAAACCTTAGTAACGGTGGTCTGCACCTCACATGATCACCATAACGGCTCGGCGACATATCCACTGATCTGAACAGGCAACCCTACAGAACGCGTCGACCGAGCTTACTCTTTTTCCTTGTTTGAATTGTCTTCCTATGTTTAGAGTTTACTTAGGGTTGAAGTCCAGATCTATTGCAATTTGAGGTATTCATTGCTTTATGCCTAGTTAAATTAGACTTTTCGAGTTGAATTTCAACTTGAAAAATGGCGAAAGTTTCTGATAATTGGGGAAGGTTAGTCCGAGCAACTCTCCGGAGAGAGCAGCTACGAGTTGCCGGACAAAGTCATGAGAGAAAAGCCAGTGGTCTTGCTAGTGCAGTTCCTGATTCGCTTCAACGGACCACAAATATCAATGCGATCTTGCAAGCTGCTGATGAGATTCAAGCGGAGGATGCGCATGTTGCTAGGATATGTAAGTTACTTTTGCTTGTTTATATCCATTATCGTATCATACTTCCTCCGCCCCTTTCCAAAAGAGCTACAGTTTGATTCCCGATGCGAACCAAGTACCTTCTACATACACAGTTGATATGATTTTTTCTGCCAATGGGACTCCATTGCTGTTATCCTTGTTGTGCTTATAGAATTCAACGTGATTGGCCAACTTGTATGGAAAAGTTAGATTTTCTATAAATGTTAGAGCTGAATGCTAACCCCTTTGGTATCCAAGGTGAAATCATACCTTATATATTACTTGACGATGGATAAATTAGGTAAACAGTTGCATTACAATTTATATCCATCTTACGTAGAAAGATGGCAGTTTGAACTTGTTCATAGCTTTATATGTCTTTTTGTCTGAAGATATGTAGTTTAAGTTGGAGTTAAGATTCTAAGCGGATGTTGTTCCATTTCTCAAGTGCATTCTGACCTGAATAATTCACAAAAAGATTGCCTACAGGGTTAAAGAAAGAAACTCTGAATGCCACTCAAATATAGATATTTAGATGGTTATGCAAACTTTGAGTTCTAAAAGTTATCCATGTTTGTATCAGTTGTATCCTTTTTATGGGGAGTTTCACTATATTTGGTTGAACTGTAAGGTTGTGAAATCTCATATTAGTATCTGACTGTAAAAACAATTTTAGTGTGTGAGCAGGCATATAGCATGGCTCAAAATTTGGACCCAAATAGTGATGGAAGAGGAGTTCTTCAGTTTAAAACCGGTTTAATGTCTGTGATCAAGGTAAGACAAGTATTTCAAGAATCTACTTTATTCAAATTGTTACTTTAGCTTTTGATGAGCTCGCTTGTCACGGTTTTGGTTTCTACAGTCTAATTCATCATTAATAAATACTAATTGAGGAGTCTGATATTTATTGCAGCAAAAACTAGCCAAAAAAGATGGAGGGAGGATAGATCGTAATCGTGATGCTCAACACCTGTGGGATTTCTATCAGCGTTACAAACGAGTGCATAGAGTTGATGAAATCCAAAGAGAGGAACAAAGAATGCTTGAATCTGGAACTTTCAGTTCTGATATGGGAGGGTACACTCTTATCTTTTGGGCCTAAAAATACTACTTTTTGAGTCATGGTAAATATAATAATGTCACTTGTGAAAATAAAAGCCTAAGCATAACTGTTTATATGAATTTCAGTTTGGGACTGAGGTCTCAAGAAACTAAAAAGGTATTTACCACACTGAGAGCTCTTGTTGAGGTAATGGAAATCCTTAGCAAAGATGCTGCACCTGATGGAGTTGGCAGATATATTGCAGAAGAGGTATTTCTTCTCCCATCCTGCCTATGAGTTAACAATATCCTTGTATCATCTAAAAGAGTATTCTACAAAGTTGCCACTGGGAAATCATTATTCTTGTTGATTTGTCTTCACATTGTTTTTGACTTGGCTCATTAGATTAGGAATCACGTTATAAACTTTAAAAGCATCTCCAATGTTCATAGATGATTATTAGATTGAATTTTGTGTTAAGAGTTTCAATGCGATGGGCTCTTGAATATCATGAACTTCTTGATGCGAGTGTCAACTATCTAAACCGTGTTATTATTTATTTTTTTGTTTATATATTTATTCCAGATAAAAAGGTTAAAGAAAACAGATAAAGGATTGTCGGGGGATCTAACACCTTACAACATTGTTCCACTTGATGCACCATCTTTGACAAATGCTATTGGGTTCTATCCAGAGGTAAGTTAAATGACTATTTCTTTGTGAAGAGCTATGTTTGTGATGCACTTTGATTCTTGACCTTACGGAATAAGGCTTCATTTCTTATTTTGATTCTCAGGTTAGAGCTGCAATATCTGCACTTAGATATCATGAAGAGTTCCCTAGACTTCCACCTGATTTTGAGGTTCCTGCACAGCGTAACTTAGACATGTTTGATCTTCTCGAATTTGTGTTTGGTTTTCAGGTTTGAACTCTTTCATATTTAAACTTTGTTTTAGAATTTATGTTTGTGTATCTTAGTTCTTTGTAGACTTTTGAGGTGTTTATGTACTTAGACGGTTGAGTTGTGAACATATCACTCATGCTGTCTCATTTACTTGGATGAGTGAATGCATTTTAACATCCCAATCTCAAAAGAAATAAACCATTTTTTTATTTCATTTTTAAAATCCATGGAAGATTGCAATATGTATATAAGAGATGTACTTCATTACAAAAGGGGACAACAAGTTATTTCATCATTAAGTTTCAAACTTTCCATCCAATCATGGGAACCAAACTTCAGTTGTGCATACTGCATTCTAACTATTCACAAAACATTTGGTAAACTTGCATGTAGTTTGAAAGGCACATGCAGAAAGTTCATCATAGATACACATAATTGGTTGTCACCTCTTAGCATCTTTCACTTCTCCCTTTATGTCATCTAGCCAATATGACAACCCAATAAAAGAAAAAAAAATATTATGGTTGTCAGCTCAACAAATTTATATTTCCAGCTGTGTAATGTAATGGTTTACACATCTAGTTTAATGTGTAATATATCCCATCATCCATTTGAAAATCAACAAAAAAACATCTTCTTCCTTCAGTTCAATTCAGTTTTCTTTACTTATGGTGACCTTACATATGCAGAAAGACAATATCAGGAATCAACGTGAGAATGTTGTTCTCTCTTTAGCAAATGCTCAATCACGACTTGGCATACCAACTGAAGCTGATCCAGTAAGTATATTTTTTGTGTCTACAGTTTATACACTATTATTAATGGAATCTTGCTGACATGTCATTCATAATTTTCTTAGAAACTAGACGAGAAAGCTATTACAGAAGTTTTTCTAAAGGTTCTTGATAACTACATCAAATGGTGCAAATATCTGCGTATACGTCTGGTTTGGAACAGGTGACTTTCATCCCCTGTTATCACTTTTTATAAATAAAAATCATCGTTTCTCATGCTATGCTAATTGCGAAAGTTGTTTTCAACAGCATACAAGCCATTAACAAGGACAGGAAGCTTTTCTTGGTTTCACTGTACTATTTAATCTGGGGTGAAGCTGCAAATGTCCGTTTTCTTCCAGAATGCATTTGCTATATATTCCACCATGTAAGTGTCTTACTCTTATCTCTATTAGTTGATCAATTATTGTTTAAACTAATGAATACTTGTATTACCTAGATGGCCAGGGAATTGGATGCTATTTTGGATCATGGACAAGCTAGCCCTGCTCAGAGTTGTATTTGTGAAGATAATTCAGTGTCCTTTTTGGCACAAGTCATTCAACCAATTTACAACACACTCTCTAAGGTCAATATCTCTCTTGTTAATAGAAGTCATGAGTTTGTTATTAAATTGTCACTCGCATATTTAAACAAATCTTTCTCTTTCAACAGGAAGCGGAACGAAACAATAATGGGAAAGCTGCCCATTCAGCATGGAGGAATTATGATGATTTCAATGAATATTTCTGGTAGGTGTTTCATCGTTGTGACAAATTATTTTTATCTATATGCTTTTCAGAAGCTTATACTTGAAATTATTCAGGTCACCTACTTGCTTCAGTTTGAGCTGGCCTATGAAGGAGGATTCACCATTTCTTCGATCCACTAAGAAAAAAAGGGTAAGTCATCACCGAAATTCACTTATAGAGCCATCCATTTCTTTACATTATCTGTCAATTTAGATTAGGGACTGCCTCTTGAATGAAATATTATTTATTTATTTTATTTTTCAAATCATCAGACTGGAAAAAGCACTTTTGTGGAGCATCGAACGTTCCTTCACTTGTACCGGAGTTTTCATCGTATGTGGATATTTTTAGTAGTCATGTTCCAGGTACATTTCATTATTTCACAATTTTTTTTGCTCTTTTAGCAGTGAGGTCAAATATTGGCTCTAAATCCTTTTCATTTTCTTTTAGGTGTTGACAATAATAGCCTTTGATCATGGAAACCTAAACCTCAATACATTTAAAACATTGCTTAGCATTGGTCCAACCTATGCTATCATGGAGTTTGTGGAATGTGAGTAGTTAATGCCTTACTGGTGTTTCATTTATTTATTTATTTATTTTTGTGTGTGTGTAATACTAAAATGTTTGCTACTTATACAGGTAGCTTGGATGTACTGTTAATGTTTGGGGCATACAGCACAGCAAGAGGCATGGCAATTTCAAGGCTGGTTATTAGGTTCTTCTGGGGTGCATTGAGCTCAGTGTTTATCACATACGTCTATGTGTAAGTCCATAGTCATCTGCCTTTAATAGCATTTGATGTACTTCTATGGCTGACTACTTGCATTGTGAACAATGAATTTTCCAGAAAACTTTTGCAGGAAAGAAATGATAATAACTCAAATTCAATGTATTTTCGATTATATTTACTTGTTGTGGGTGTTTATGCTGGTGCACGCTTTCTCTTTGCAATGCTACTAAAAATTCCAGCCTGTCATTCGTTATCTCAAAAGTCTGATCAGCCATTTTTCCAATTTTTTAAGTGGATTTACGAGGTACTTTTCCTTCTTGGACTATGGTTTCTGTTTCTTGTTATTTGGCAAGCATCTTGAATTCTGTATTATTCTATAAAATTTTTGTCATCCAGGAGCGATATTTTGTTGGGCGTGGTCTTTATGAGAGGCCAATGGATTACATAAGGTTTTGCTCCATGTCTTATTAGTGCCATTTTCTCTCTATTTGTACTTGTTTTTAACCTAAATCAAGTCCTTACTCTTTGTGCTTAATGTTTGCAGATACGTGCTTTACTGGATGGTGGTCTTTGCTTGCAAGTTTACTTTCACCTACTTCCTTCAGGCAAGTTATGATGCATGATATACAAGTTTTTTCGTGTGTTTATTTTAGCAGTTGTTCTACAATATTTTGTTAAGTTACTGGCTCATTGTTATGATGTTTATTCTTTTAACTTTCCAGATCCGACCATTGGTGGAGCCCACCAACATTATCAAGGACCTTCCCAGGCTGCAATATTCCTGGCGTGATCTTGTCTCAAAGGGTAAGCGTTGAATCTTCTATACATTTCACTTGGTTTTTGTTTATTTTTAGATCACTTCTTGAATCTGATAACAACTTTTCCACTTCCATTTTGTGGATTTGTCAAAGGAGTGCTTCTTTCATAGCTAATTTTGCGTTTATCCTTTGGCCTTTTCAGATAATTATAATGCTCTTACCTTAGTGAGCATATGGGCCCCTGTAGTGGCTGTGAGTATTTTCATCTCTTTCCAATCATTCTTGCAAGTGACTTGTAGAAAAAAAACCGTCTTTTAGACATATTTTTAAAATGCAAAAACTTCCCTTTTCCTTACAAGTTCTTGGGTTTTAAACCGAATCCAAATTCTATTATCATGTATAGTCATACAGGATGGTTTCTAGTTCATTTAGTGTTTATAACTATCATTCTTCTTGAATCTTCAGATCTACCTTATGGATATTCATATTTGGTACACTCTCTTATCTGCAATTGTTGGTGGTGTAATGGGTGCACGTGGACGATTAGGCGAGGTATGATGTTTTATCCAAATCTCATATTTTTTGCAACTATTATGTTCCATTCGCCTTCAAAATAATTACCTTTTACATTTCGTTGATGATATATAATTTTATACCATGTCTTTATTACATAGATCCGGTCAATTGAGATGGTTCATAAACGGTTTGAGAGTTTCCCAGAGGCCTTTGTTAAGCAACTTGTGTCTTCACAAGCAAAAAGGTTTGTGTCTATTTGATATGGTATTTCTTTATTTTATCTTACTCTAATTTCGTGTCTTACATTGTGTTTTCTCTAGGGCACCTATTAATGGACATTTAGGTCCTGAAGACAATAATGACAAGGCCTATGCTGCCCAGTTTTCCCCATTTTGGAATGAAATAATTAAAAGTCTGCGTGAAGAAGATTACATCAGTAATAGGGAAATGGACTTGCTTTCAATGCCAATCAACACTGGAAGTCTTGGATTAGTTCAATGGCCTTTGTTTCTGTTAAGCAGCAAGGTAAAACTAAAACCTGTAAATCTTATCTGTCATAATCGTAATCACTTTCAATAGGCATTCTGTATTGACTATTGACCTTGGACTGTTTGACCAGATATATTTGGCGATTGACTTAGCTATAGACTGCAAGGATAATCAATCAGAGCTTTGGGGTAGAATCATCAGGGATGAATATATGGCATATGCTGTCCAGGAATGCTACTACAGCATTGAGAAGATCCTACTTGCTTTAGTTGATGGAGAAGGAAAGCTATGGTTTGTTTTTTGTACCCCTCAGTTATGATCATATTATATTATATTATTTCTCACTGATTTTACTTGCAGGGTTGAAAGAATCTTTCGTGAGATCAACAATAGTATGTCAAATGGTTCACTCCTTGTGACTTTAGATTTTAAAAAGCTTCCTTTGGTGCTGTCAAGATTTAATGCATTGACCGGTCTTCTGGTAATTTTTGTTAATTATACAAGTTGGGATGTACATACATATATAAAATAATCTATCGGTCAATCTGTAACATAATATTGCTGTTACAGATCATGGATGAAAAACCTGAACTTGCAAAAGGAGCTGCTAAAGCTGTATATGAGTTATATGAGGTGGTCACTCATGGTCTTTTGTCACCTGATCTAAGGTATGCTGTGTAAACCTTAAACCCTAAACCTAAATCATGAAATGTTTTACTTTTATATGAGATTAGTTATAGTAGGGTCTTAATTTTTCAGTGAGCAGCTTGATACATGGAATATATTAGCAAAGGCAAGAAATGAAGGACGCCTATTTGCCAATATCAGATGGCCTAGAGATCCCGACATTGTAAGTTGATTTTGACCTTTCTATAGTTTTATAAAAAAAGTTCAATTTCATTGACAACATAATTTAACCTCTTCTTCTTACAGAAGGAGCAGGTGAAGCGGTTGCACTTACTTTTAAAAATGAAGGATTCTGCTGCTAATGTCCCCAAGAATCTTGAAGCAAGAAGAAGATTAGAGTTTTTTACAAATTCTCTTTTCATGCATATGCCTCCAGCAAAGCCAGTTAGTGAAATGATGCCATTCTGGTATGTGTAAATCTTGAAGAAGTTAATTGTTTTTTTTTTTTTCTTTTTTTCTTTGAGGTAATAATATTAAATATTAATAGCTGTCTGATTGATTTGCAATATGTTTGAAAAAAAAACAGTGTCTTTACACCCTACTACAGCGAGACAGTACTTTATAGTTACCATGACTTATGGGCAGAAAATGAAGATGGAATCTCTACCATTTTCTATCTTCAGAAAATCTTTCCAGGTATTTCTCCTCCTTGCTGACTAGGATTTCTTATCAAAGATTTTGTCATGTATGCGATAATACCTAACACATTTCCCTCCATTTTAGATGAATGGGAGAATTATCTAGAACGAATAGGCAGTGTTAATACTGGAGATGTGGAACTTCAACGTAGTGCTACAGATGAATTGGAGCTTCGATTTTGGGTGTCTTATCGTGGACAGACCTTAGCCAGGACAGGTCAGATTCTCTAATACTACATTTCTTAAGTTCAAATTTGATTATATTATGATTATGAATATTAACAAGTAAAAACTACATTTTTTTTTTGTGTATAGTGCGTGGTATGATGTATTACAGGAGGGCTTTGATGCTTCAGAGTTATTTAGAGAACAGATCATTAGGAGGTAGGTACTCTTTAACCTACTAGGATTCTTATGCAAGATTTTATTATATTATATGTAATTGTTTGTTATCTTTTGCTGCTCTCCATCAACAGTAGCTCACCCTCAAGCAGCCCTATCACCTCAAGGTTTTCAAGAGTCACGTGAAGCTCGAGCACAAGCTGATTTGAAGTTCACATACGTTGTTTCATGTCAAATTTATGGACAGCAAAAACAACGTAAGGAGAAAGAGGCCACTGATATTGGTCTTTTGCTGCAAAGGTATTTGTAGTTAGTAGTTACTTGGTTTTTTAAGTTATGGGTTTAATTTTGTATTTATATCCAGGAATGAGGCACTTCGAGTTGCTTTCATACATGTTGAAGAAGTCCCAGGTGGTGATGGAAGGATCACAAAATCGTTTTATTCGAAGCTTGTGAAAGCTGATATCAATGGAAAAGACCAGGTATTAGTTACTTACTTACATGGAAAATCTTTTTATATATGAGTTCGTTTTCATAACAATGTAATGTGATTCCTGTTAGGAAATATATTCCATAAAACTCCCTGGCGACCCCAAACTTGGAGAAGGAAAGCCTGAAAATCAAAACCATGCCATAGTTTTCACACGTGGAGAAGCAATTCAAACCATAGACATGAACCAGGTGGAATATACATATATTTATATATTTACTACTATTGTCATTTCTTCTTGTTTTGTTTGCTTCTGCTTATGCTGAAAGATTTATTTATGTTTTGTTTTTGAAGGATAATTATCTTGAAGAGGCAATGAAAATGAGAAACCTCCTTGAGGAATTTCGAGCAGATCATGGTTTACGACCTCCAACTATTCTTGGTGTTAGAGAGCATGTTTTTACTGGAAGGTTTGCCTGCCTTTCTTTTAACTTTTATTCCCTCGTTTCTCAATTTAACAATTTTTTTTTTGTAATGTCTCCTCTTGCTATATGATGATACAGTGTTTCTTCCCTGGCATGGTTTATGTCCAACCAAGAGACAAGTTTTGTTACATTGGGACAACGTGTTTTGGCATATCCTCTCAAGTAAGTTGCCATTATTTATTATAAACTTAAAAAATTTGATTATTTTAATTGATTGGTTTATATATGTTGCAGAGTCCGGATGCATTATGGACATCCTGATGTGTTTGATCGAATATTCCATATTTCTCGAGGTGGAATAAGTAAGGCATCACGTGTTATTAATATCAGTGAAGATATATATGCAGGGTTCAATTCCACCTTGAGACAGGGTAACATCACGCATCATGAGTACATACAGGTTTGTCTTGTCACAATGCTCTGCCTAAATATTTATAATTCATAATTATATTTTATTTTTGTCCAATCTTTTTCACGTGTAGGTTGGTAAAGGAAGAGATGTTGGGTTAAATCAAATTGCCCTTTTTGAAGGCAAAGTTGCAGGTGGAAATGGAGAACAAGTTTTAAGCAGGGATGTCTACAGAATTGGTCAACTCTTTGACTTTTTCAGAATGCTCTCTTTCTACTTCACCACAGTTGGTTACTATGTCTGCACAATGGTAACCTACTTCGTCTAAAATCCTTTTTTTTTAATATAACTTTCTGCAATCTTGCTTTGCTTTTTCTAATGGAGCTCTTGTTTTGCAGATGACAGTTCTAACAGTCTATGTTTTCTTGTATGGGAGGGCATATCTGGTAAACTATTTACAATTACATAGAGTTTCCAATTTCAAAATTTCTTAACCTGCAAAAAATAATTATATATTTATATTTCAGGCTTTCTCAGGACTTGATGAGGGGATTAGTAGTAGATCTAGAATACTGGGTAATACTGCATTCAGTGCAGTTTTGAATACTCAATTCTTAGTCCAAATTGGAGTATTTACTGCAGTTCCAATGGTTATGGGTTTCATACTTGAACTTGGGCTACTCAAGGTTTGTTCACCTTCACTTGACAGATATATCAAATATCACTGAATACTTGAATAGATTATTTTTTAAAATTGTATGATTTTGCAGGCCATTTTCAGTTTCATTACAATGCAACTTCAGCTATGCTCTGTATTCTTCACGTTCTCATTAGGAACTAGAACTCATTATTTTGGAAGAACAATCTTACATGGTGGTGCTAAGTACAGAGCAACTGGTAGAGGCTTTGTTGTACAACATATAAAATTTGCCGATAACTACAGGCTCTACTCAAGAAGTCATTTTGTGAAGGCGTAAGTATTATTTTATTTATTTATATAATATAATATAATATTTGTTAGTTTACGATAACAAGTAAATTGTTTGTGTTGTGAAACTGAAACAGGCTGGAAGTGACATTGCTTCTTATAGTTTATATTGGTTATGGGTACACTGAAGGAGGTAGTGTTTCGTATGTTCTGCTGACACTGAGCAGTTGGTTTCTTGTGGTTTCATGGCTGTTTGCACCGTATATCTTCAACCCATCTGGCTTCGAATGGCAGAAGTATGCTTCCAGTTATTTTATTTTCTTTTTCCTAATTCATGAATCTATCTTATGATTGGGATGTGATGTGATGTGAACAGGACTGTGGAAGATTTTGATGATTGGACTAATTGGCTTATGTATAAAGGTGGAGTTGGAGTGAAAGGAGACAATAGCTGGGAATCCTGGTGGGATGAAGAACAGGCACATATCCAGACAATCAGAGGGCGTATACTTGAAACTATCTTGAGCTTGAGGTTCTTCATATTTCAATACGGGATAGTCTACAAGCTCCATCTCACTGGAAATAATACATCATTATCGGTACTTACAAATTTTATTTATTTCACTTTTTTTTTTTTTCTACGTGAAACTATACTGACAAAAAATACATTTACATGACATGATATGTTGGTCGAGTAGCTTTACGGATTCTCATGGGTGGTGTTAGTTGGGATTGTGATGATATTCAAGGTTTGTATCATATTATATATATATAAATCAGTTCTGATGATTGAATATAGTAATTGATGATGTGGTTTTGTATATAGATCTTCACATTCAGCTCGAAGAAGTCAAACTTCCAGCTATTCTTGAGATTCGTTCAAGGAGCTGCAGCACTGAGCCTGATTGCAGCCCTTTGCCTTGTTGTGATCTTCACAAGGCTAACAGTGGCCGACTTGTTTGCCAGCGTGCTTGCTTTGATTGCCACTGGGTGGGCCGTAATATGTGTAAGTTGAAATCTATTTGAACTTGAATATTTTCCATCTTGATTACTATTTTGATGCAAATAAAAAAAATAAAAAAACAGCTGGCAATCGCATGGAAGGGAGTGTTGAGGAGGATAGGACTATGGGATTCGGTACGAGAGTTTGCAAGAATGTATGATGCTGGAATGGGAATGATCATATTTGCACCGATTGCAATGTTGTCTTGGTTTCCATTTGTGTCGACTTTTCAATCTCGGTTGCTGTTTAATCAAGCGTTTAGTCGTGGGCTTGAGATATCTCTCATTCTTGCTGGGAACAAGGCTAACGTCCAGGCATGATTCTAAATTTGTACAGAACAGGTTTTGTACATTTCAGACTCTAAATTATCATCTCATCTTGTATTATTTTTGCTCCCTGACTAACATGACAACAAGATATAGTACAAGCTTCAGTTTGGTTTTTTTATTTTTATTTTTATTTTGTGAATATCCATCTGTAAGATTTTGTTTGCCTCTTCAACTACAAACTTTAGTTCCTTAAGCTTTGGGAGTTTGGATAATACTCGTATTTTCTGAGATGAAATCCGCACTTTGTAGTAGTATAAAGCATTGTGAATGGTATTATTATCATGCTCTTACTTGCAGTTTCATCAAGGGTGGTGCTAAATGCCATGGATTGGATACAAATTACCTTTATTATATTATGAGTCGATTTGATTGGAACAATTTCAAAACAAAGTTTTAGTATTCACCCTGTGGACCTTTTCTTAATAACTTTTAATTTAATTATTTTATTATTTTCATGTATTAACAATAAGTTATAATAATTACACTAACAATACAGGTATTAATTTTAACAATAAATGAGATTAATGATTGCGCTAATAATATTATACAGTATACTGAATTAAAACAAACAATAGTTAATTAAAATGTGTGGTTATTATGTATTTGTGTGTGTGCGTTTTTGACAAATTTAAAGCTAATTTAAAATTTAATTGATCTTTTAATAAAATGATCGCTATTATATAATAAATAAATCTTTACAAATATTAACTTGTCTTCGATCAATTATTTGTTTATTTTAACAAAAATATGAATATGAAAAACATCAAACAAGATTTGAGTTGGATATTGATGGATTACGCATTCTTTGTTAAATTATTATTTATAATGGTGTACCACCCTGATCAGATGAACTCCAACCGACCAATCAACCCAACAAGAATGATGAACCCTAAGAACCGGATTTAGGCACGACACATTAGACAAACGAACACATACTACACACTAAAAGTCCTGCAATAAACCAAAACGTATCCAACATGGCTTTGTCTCTGTACAAACACGGGAATGCTCGCCATTTCTCCAAAAAAAGTTAGGACTTCCTAAAAAGGTAAAGTAACAACCTTTTTAGGTCAAAAGGAGAAACATTGTCCCTCAAACAAATACTATGAATACAACACCTATATAGAAGTATCACAAACATAACACAACTCCCATAATCTTACTCTTACACTCCTGCATACTCTTTCAAGTAAACACCCTCTAATTTAGGGGTCAAAGCATAATTAGGCTCTGGGAAGTGGTGAGGTCTTTACCGCACCTTTTGCCACATAGGCAGGGGAACATTGCCCCCGACTACGGTTTGTGTGTGGTTTAGACCGTAGTGCGGTAGAAATTTGTTGTACTTTCACTTTCTCTCTCTTTTATTTGCTCTCTCTCTCTCTCTCTCTCAACCAATCATCTTTTTTTTTTCTTTATCATATTCTCACTCCCACCATGTGGTTTCATAGTGTTAAAATAAGAACAATTATAAGCTGGCGTCTACGTGGCATATGAGGAAGTGCTGTTTCTGTGGCACCACTCCTTCTAGTCTTATGGGCTTATCCCGGATTACGTTTAGCTTTCCATTTGTGATCACATGAAAAAACCAGAAGATCCTATAAGTTTGTTAAAAGATCCACTACATTTTACTCTCAACCTCAACATCTATTCTCTATCTAAGACTTGGTTACATCAATTTATAAATCAAAATGTTAAATAATTTAATTCTAGAAAAATATAATGTTTTTTCTTAAACAATAATTTGTTTTGTTCCAAAGCCCAAAGTGACTAATATACCTTTTATCAAATACAATCGAGGGAGATGTAAAAGCATTATAGTCTCTTCAAACATGTTTAGATTTAAAAATATAGTTTTTTTTGGATTATTTCTCTCTCTCTCTCTCCCTCTCTCTCTCTCTCTATATATATATATATATATACACACACACACACACACACACACTAGGTGTGAGACTCATGTATTGCATGAGTTAATTTAAAAAAAGTTAAATATAAATGTCAAAATATTTGAGAACCTTGAATTTATAAGAAAATAAGAAAAATAATGAATTATAATTATGGAGATGTTTTTTATCTTTTAAATTTAAACAAATAATTTAAATAAAGAAAATAAACTAATTAGCTTTAATTTTAGGAATTTTATAATTAAAAGATAAGTTTATTAATGAAATTTATATCAATTTATAACTACATTTATTGCAATTATTACATTAAAATATTATGTGGAATTCAATAAAATAGAAAAACTCATAAATGACAAGCGAAAAAAAATTAATTCAAAATAATCACAAAATGATATTTGACAAATTGAATGAGAATGTAACAAGTGGCAAAAAAAACGTTCATTTATTAGAGATGATATATATATATATATATATATATATATATATATATATATATATATATATATATATATATATATATATATATATATATATATATATATGAAGTGGCTCAAATGTAAAACCACAAAAGATTAAGAACCCCAATGTCATAAGTAAATATATATTGTGATTTGTGAATATTACTAAATATGTTGAAATTCTAATTTTTATCTTTGTGGTAAGAAAAGGGTAAAATCGTAAATTTTTTAGACCAATATTTTCATTCATATATTCATTTCATATTTTAACACAAAATTTATGTAAAATACAAATTCATAAGTCTATTTATAATTTAATACACAAAATTCACAATTTAATACAATTATTTTTTTACATTAATTCCAAAATTCAAAAAAATGAAACCTAAACTCTACCACCACCACCACCATCAGATGTCACTACCAACCATTTGTGCCACCGTTGCAACTATTTATCCTTCAAAGTCATATCTATAATTCTATATATATATATATATATATATATATATATAAAATCATGTATTGACAACTTAAATATTATATTTAAAGTTTAATAAACTTATTAATTCACTCATTTAAATTTGAATGTAAAAAAACTATAAAAACTACCACATTCTTACATATTTATACAACAAAGAGAATAAATATATTCACAAGAAAATTAATAGAAGCATTTATACATTAATAATTCATATTTCAACACAAAATTCTTAAAAAAATCACAACTTAATACAATCAATTTATAGTTTAATAAAGTCAATTAACATTTTAATACACAAAATTCACAATTTAATACACATAATTGTCATATTCTTAACTTAAAACTTATATTTATACCTTTAGATACGGAGGCTAATGTTTTTTTTCAAAGTTTAATTTACACAATATTCATAGTTTAAATTTTTAATAATTTATTTAAACTTAGAAAAACTCATATATGTATATAATGATTATTTCTTCTTATATTTCAGAAGCAAACACAAAATTCTTAAAAAATGCACAACTTAATACAACCAATTCACAATTTAATACACCAAATTCACAGTTTGATGCATAAAATTATTTATTCAAATCCATATGCTCAGCTCAAAACTTACATTTATACTAGGGATGAGCGTCGGACGGAACCGGTACCGACCCGTACCGTTCCCGATTTCCCGAAAACTGAATTTGATTGAAAGTTAATCCCGAGTACTAGACCGAATTAACATTACCGGTACCGGTACCCGAAATGGTACCGGTTTTCAGTACTAGTATCGGTACCGGTGGTACCGATTCCCGAATTTCATGTATTTGGAGTACCAAGTATCGTGCCATATTTTTAAATTTGGTACGGTACCGGTACGGGATCGGGATTTGTGACAAATTGCTCATCCCTAATTTATACGTTCATATCTAGAGGCATTTTTATGTATTAAATTATGAATAAAAGTTATAGTTTAATCCACAAAATTCACAGTTTAATAATGTAACGTCCTAAAAATACTAAGTAGTTTTTTTTCTCTTTAAGTCAACCCAAAACAACTATTCATTCATTCCAAAAACCCAATCAAAGTATAAAAATGTGTCAAGTAATTATAAGAGTACAAAACAACTCATAGAATGCGGAACACTGTGGATGCGATGCAATCACATCGAGCTTTTTCCTTTACATGAAATCATAAGCACCTGAAACATACACATGAAACCGTATGCACAAAACTTAGTGAGTTCTCCAAAATACTACATACCATATATACATATCAGCTCGAAGCTGTAACGAGTCTATTCCCCCCCCCCCCCCCCCCCAAATCTATTTCAACTCAATTAATGTTTTTCAACCAAACGAGTCTATTTCACCCCGAGTCTAATTCAACTCAATCGATGTTTTTCAACCGAACGAGTCTATTTCACCCCTAGGTCTATTTACCCCATATACAAATAGCACACAAGCATATCAGCAAGAGTCACAAATACAACAAGCACATAACGACACATAGTGTCCTACAGTACAGTGAGAAAACTTACCTCGATCGGTAAATGAATAGATCTCACACACAAGCTGTCATGCTAAAATCCCTCTCACTAAACATATCAAAAACCAAACCCTAATTTACAATTAAGGTGGTAATTCATAATCAAGGGTCCTAATTACGTTCTCTCTTTCTAGGGTAAAAAACCATTTTACCCTTCCAAGGATAGACCCACTCATCTCGACCAATAGTCAAATATTGACCAATTACACTCTCGGCTGCTACGCCTTGTGTAACGACCCAATTTTTACGTCCGAAAATTTCACTTTTAAGGTATTACTTTAGAAAACATTAATAAATAAAAACATTGTTTGTTCACACCATAACACATCGCAGCCATGTTCTAAAAAGTCAAACCATACATCCATCAAAATATCAGAGTACAATCCCAGTAAATCTCATAAATGCGGAAACCGAAGAGTGTGTGTATGACGTGCCGCTACCGCGCCGGCTCCTTCCCCTTCGATGCAGAGGTACCTGAAAACAAAACTGTAAACGTAAGCACAAAGCTTAGTGAGTTCCCCCAACGTACCGCATACCATACAAACACATAACATACGTACTGCCAGGCTATTCTGGGGTGCCTGACTACCCGGTACGGCCATTCTGGGGTGCCGACCTACCCATACGGCCATTCTGGGGTGCCGTCTTACCCGTGTCAAGCCATTCTGGGGTGCTGACTACCCATGTCAAGCCATTCTGGGGTGCTGACTACCCATCGGTCCTAACAACCGATCCTCGGGGACTATTTCACCCCCTACTACTACGATCACATATAACATAACAAGCCAGCATGTATACATATCATCACATACTGTCAGACGTATCTGGGGTGTCTGACTACCCTTCGGTCCTAACAACCAAACTCTACTACTATCACATACAACATATCATGCTAGCATATAACATGTCAGGTAATAGCAAACTTAGATGATATCACAAAGACAATCA